CATAATACGTCGAATGCGGTCATTTTTAAAATTTCACGGGAATATATGTTATATATTTCAATAATACCCATGGATATATTGAGTTTAAACAAGTATTTCTAAAATAATATAAATATGTTTATAATGATGAGCTAAAATATTAATTTTTTTGAAGTTCTTAAGTCATAAATATTTCGACGAAAAAAAAATATCACAATACAAAAGTAGAATATGTACTACATATCCTGAAATACAGTATGCGTATCGTATCAAGTATGACTATGTTTGATTTTCTCCCCCCTCGAGCATATCAATGCTCCATAGACCATAGGCATATGCTTGTCCAAAGAAAATGTCATGCTGTAAGGATTACATCGATCCTACTATGGTCTCACGTTCAGAATGCTGTGCAGCTGTGCGAGTGTGGGCATCATAAACACGAGCCTCAGTTTCGAAATACGTGTTTTAGTAGTGATATCTCTTCTATAGATATCGTCCCAGGTATCCTCTGATTGGAGAACTCTTTTCTTAACAAGACCCATTCATTGTTGGTGCAGCTAATGTTAAGTTACCAAGCTCTGGGATACGACAACCACAATGGGTCAATACGCTGCTGGGGCATTTATCCGAATGTCCCATCCTACTGATTATTTATTTGGGCTATAACTTCTGATAACTATGTAACTGAAACAGAAGACATGAATATGATGGCGACGAAAGAAATAGGAAGACATTATCTTAGGAGTTGAATGTGTATATCAGCCTATATAGATGCAAAACCTATTCAAATACGAGGCACTGTTGGGTCCAGTGACCAAGTGGAGCACGTGACTAATGTCAGCTAAGATTCAAGCCATCAACATCATTTTTTTGTTGTAGATATTTAATTTGAAGTAAAGTTTCCTGCAAGCTAGTTGTCATCTTCCCCTTTGTTCTGTGGCTCCTCTTCGGTACTGCTAACCCCCTGAAATAAATTTTAACAATAGACAGCACACCCACTAAAATATTTTATGTGAGTATGTGTGTGTATATCTGAACATACATATATAATGCCATGTATAACTTCTCAATATCTGTTCCCACCACCAGTCCACCTGTATCGAGTCAAAAATGAAACGCTCTTTCGCTATCTTAGAGCATCCACACTTCCCATTAGTTTCAATCCGTTAAGTTTTTGCTGCAGGACCTGTCTTTTTCCCCCTTCACATTCAAATAAGAAGCGAGAGTTTAGGCGTTATAGAGACATTGCAAGAAAAGCCGATAAAATAATTGAAGTTGCTCATGTCACGTTCAAATCTGCACGCCTATCACAAACATTGATAGTTTTTAGTTTAACATCTCATCTTTACAGGCAATGGGTTTTCACTAAAAATATCTACAAAGTTTAATAAAAGATATATATCCTGTACCTTGAAAGCAGCGCTGTAGATTGCAAGGATGTATGATTGGCCTCTGGCTGCAGGTCCATGTGCCAGTAGGTCGTTTTGACTCGATTCGGCATCTCTTTCATCTAATCTGAGCTAAAATCCAGAATCTCCGATTTCCTTGAGACAGAAGATTAACAGTGAAATCAGAAGGTAAATTTTTGTTGGATGTAAATCGATTTTACGAGGTCGGCTTTCTCCTTTTCATTTTTTATGACGTAAGATGTATTATTGTAAAAGTTATTATCTTATCTTAAAAGAGTCTAAACTAACGCAATATTGTTGGAATCAGAATTATAGACATCATGATAGTACATTTCGCAGTGTCTTTGATCATGTTGTAGAGTAATTATTTCAAGAATAATCTTCTCTATAAAAAGCAATATCTGTAATCAAGCACTAATGTAGAATATGGTGTGCACTAACAATTACGTCTTCAAAAATATATCCAAAATATTGCTGTTTTTGCCACGTGTTCTCTGTGCTATTCGTTAAATAATACAAAGCAAGCATATATTACGAAGATTAAGTGGTGCTCAACAACCCATAAAAATGATGCTGGCCAATGCCAAGCACTCCCTAAAGCAAAGTATATATTCCCTTTTGTTTTCCCCTAATAGCTTTCTGATTTTGTCGTTTCGTATTTTTATGGCCAAAATTTCATATAAATATTAGAATAGAATGAAGCCGAGATAGAGAGGCATGGTGTCAGTATGACGATTTAATTATGCTCCGTTTGCAGAATAGCACTGACTAATGTTCCCTTCACATTTGACCGGAAAAAAATAATAAAAACAATAATGTTCCCCACCCTACACAACTTCTCGGGTATTCAAATCATATACTCATTTTCTTAAAAAGTATTCATAGATATTAATTTACTCATTTTCGTGTACAAGTTACAGTTACATTTTTCATAGATATTGTAGGGGAAAAAAATCAATATAAGAAGACACAGCTTTAGTGGTTCAATAATAATTCAGAAGACTGGTTTGAATGCATGCTGAAAAAAAAATGCGGGCTTTAAGTCTCACATTGAGAAGGAAACAAACGAAACCGAACTTATGTTAGTGGATCAACCTATAGAAAAACTAGATAAAGGTTGTTTCAGATTCTGGAACTCAAAAATTAGCCTTGGAGCCTAAGACGAGAAGCTAGTAGATGAAGATCGGTCCTTCTCAAGTTTTGGCAAGTATAAGTGTGAAGAGGGTACTCGGACACCGGGGGGCTGACACTTGAAGACTATACGAGGCTTAGCTCCATGATTTCGAAGTTAAGATGGTCTGAATAAATTCACGAAATGCAGGAACGAGGACAATATGTTTCGCATAAAGAGAGGTTCAATAGATACTGTGACTAACCAATTTGGCTCCGTTATGCCATTGCCCAGGAAACACTAACAAAAGGCCATCCAAATCCAAAGATCAGAGTTCTTCTTTTCAATCAATATTGTCCATAGCAAAAGGACTGCATTGAGGTATCGAACTTCACATTGAAGCCCAAGGCAACATCGAATAGCGTATGCCAGATTTATTCGAGAATCAAAGCTTGAATGAGGCCGTTGCACCATCAAAAACTTCCCGATCGCCATTATTCACCAGGAATTACAAAAGCGTGGCAAATGCTACTTCTGTGAGCAGCATATCAACCGGTTAGTGAGTTGAAAGCATAGCTGATTTCAGTTCTGTGCTACTTGTTTAGCTCGTTGGCTATCCCATTCGCATCCCATCCCCTCTACCGGGTCATATCAAAACAGTTCTTTAACTGTATTGTGAGTCCTTCGGCAATGCGTAAAGCTGTTTTGTGCTCGCTCCTAATAGCATTCGCAATGGTGCCTGGAAGAACTCCTTCAATAAGTGCATGAACATTTGCGGATCATAACTACTACATTTTTCTTGTATAGAATTGGCGCGACTTATATTTCTTAAAAGACATCACGTATTTATCTCTTGTCCCTCACAATATATCCCGAAGTGGAAATAAGATATGCCTGCATTGCATGAATTATATAGTCATAGCCATACATCTTCCCAGTTTCTTCTTTTTCAAAGTGGCTTCACTTATTAGTACTACCTCCGGTCCTAATTATAAAAGCCAGTTGACTAATTTGAGAGATTAAGGAGGTAAATTAAATTAGTTATTTGTCCTAAATAGATGTTGTCTTTCCTAAAATATCCTTGCTAATCAAGTATATTAACTAAAACTATAATTATTAGGAGGACTATCTTGAAAAAAATTGAGTAAATATGAGAGACAAAGTGGATTGAGGTCTTATATTTAGCACTAAAATAAAAGTCAAATAGAGTCTTATATTAAGCACCGAAAGTAGTATTACCTAACTTGCCTGGCGGGAGCATTGCTGCATCTGCATCAAGAAGCAACTTCACCACTTCCCAGATTACAGCTAAATATACGCAATGCGTCTGGCCCCATGTTATCAGTCTGTCCACTTCCAGCAAGGTGTGCATACTTTATTAGCACCATTTCCACTAGATGTACATGTGCCCTTGCCTGGTGCTAAAATGTTTCGGCTTTGTCCGGTGATTATTCCCCCGGGATTAACGAAGGACTTTACAAATTTTGAGAAGGAAAGAAGAATCAGGATATGGCGCCCTAATATAAAATGTGTACGAAATGAACAAGGTAATGCGTATCACTCCGGTAACCTCAGGGAGAAGCAACATTAAAACTTGGTGGCATACTAGAGAAGCTTCTTGACGTACCTTGTATCAGCTACCTAAGAATCAGTTCAGTTCCATAGATAGTGACCTGTCTCTCCACACCAAAGAGCAGAGCCTTCGCCGGAACCGGAAAAGAGGATTCGTCGGAATTGCAGTTCAGAGAGATGGCAGAGGCTGATTGGGCGCGAGCGCGACGCGTTTGTTGCCGCATTGAAAGTAGGTTTGCAAAAGACGTTACTTTACAGGGCCCACGGCCCATTCCCCCACCGAAATAAAGTAATGCTCAAATGTAAATTAATTGTGAAATAGAAAATTTTTACATTTTGATTTGTCAAATTTTTTAATATTTTTGTTTATGATTTATTGTAATAAAAAGGATGGCAGCAACCCTGTATTTTTTTAACCTGTATTAGGTAAATGAAATGATATTTTGGTGCATTAATGCATTTTTAAATCAAGCTCTCTTTTGTTTATAACTCAATCTAATAAATTTTTCATTTTCTTTATAAAAAAAATCATATACTTGTTAAATCCGTAAAAATCCTAAAAACTGTGAGTGATTTTTGAACGATCCCCCTGGCGAAGAAAATACAAAAATTTAACAAGCCATTTTTTGGACTGTATAAAATAATTAACAAGCTTGAAGCGATAAGGTATGGGAGAGAATAAATTTAAAAAAAAATCTTATAAAATATTTAGATGGAAATCAAAATATAATTTTAAAAATATTTTTACAACTTATAAAATAAATATATGAAGGAGTTTCATTTTAAAAAAATACTTTTTAAAATCACTGGCTTGCCAAACGTCTCTGTAATTAAAAAAAAAAAACAGTAATAAATCCGTTCTAATTCGCGGAGGGATGTCTAACTGCCTATGCCGGTGAACGGCAACGATTGCTCCGCTTCTGGAACTGTAGCTTGATTTGGCGATAACTCCTTGAGAAGCGGAGTGTCGGCAGATTGGATTTGCAGTGACAGAGAAAGAAGCGTTTCGTTCGTCTAGATTTCATTTTCAGTTTCTAAATTCCAGCAAAACGTGTGGCTACCCAATTAATGGGGAACTCAGTCGGCCATCGCAAACACCGTAACTCCTTTCCTCACTACCCCACACCTCCCTCCTATATAAATGCTGCTCAGCCACACCTTCCAAACCCAATTTCAGCTCCTCCCTCTCACGGCCAGTTCGCCGCCGGAATGCTCTCTTTACCTTATTCCCACGTCGACTCCAGTTTGCGTGCTCTCGCCGCTCAAGCTGAAGGCTTTGGTCGCTGTGCGATCGGTGGGCTTCATGGTCCCCTTTATCACGTTACAACCTTAGCAGGTTCTCTCTCATTCTTATTCTCCCTTCTTCATTTCATATCTTTACCATATGCTTTTGGAGCTTGTCTGTCAGGCATTGGAATGTCGTTTTGCAGTTGTAGGACCACGGGTGTCATGTATATAATATATTTTTTCTTGACCTGACTGAAAGGGTGTCATCGGCGCCAATTATTTGCTTCTATGTTTTTCTTCTTTTTGGGTGTCATGGATATAATAAATTTTTTTGTGGCCTGACTGAAACTCTGAAAGGGTGTCACTGATACCAATTGTTTGCATGTGTAATTTTTTTTTAACATGTTTATTTTTAGGTTCTTAATTTTACTTTTCCTTACTCATCTTGGTTAGGCATTACCTTGTGGCTTTGAATGTTGCAATGCCTTAAGGTTTACGATTGGTTTTCCTTGATTTCTCTTAACCATGGATCGTTAGATTCCAATTTGCTTTATGGGGAAAGATTTTAACTTAAGTCCATGCAGATTTTTGGCTGATACAATTAAGTTTCCCTGGAAATCTGTTTCGTGCTTGTGAGGACTAGGGGAGTTTGGTTTCTAAAATACATGAATGATCAACCATGTCTTTAGTTTTGTAACTCTTCACGACAAGTGAGATGTGAGAGTGAGAGACAGACTTACGAGATAAGGTGAACTGGTTCTTTGGTAATCTTGTATTGCAGTGGACTTTTTATTTTAACATGCTTCTGCTGGTTTATTTTGACCACAGATGATGGACCAGGGTCACTTCGCTATGGTTGTCGCAGAAAAGAACCGTTGTGGATTGTATTTGAGGTTTCTGGTACTATTCATCTTTCATCTTACTTGAATGTGTCATCTTACAAGACTATTGATGGCCGAGGTCAAAGGATTAAACTCACTGGAAAGGGTTTGCGGCTGAAGGAATGTGAACATGTAATAATTTGCAACTTAGAGTTAGAAGGTGGTAGAGGGCCTGATGTGGATGGCATTCAGATCAAGCCTAATTCAAAGCACATATGGATAGACCGTTGTAGCCTCCGTGATTTTGATGATGGACTGATAGATATTACTCGAGAAAGCACTGATATTACTATTTCTAGGTAAGATAAGTTGCATGTTCTGAAATTTCTCGTTATTTGGCCTTTTATATTCTTTTTTTTTATGGGTGAAAATTTGGCCTTTTATATTGTTCATTGATCAAATGTTCCTTGACCATCTGCAGATGTCATTTTTCTCAGCATGACAAAACGATGCTTATTGGGGCTGATTCCTCACACACTGGTGATAGATGCATAAGGGTGACTATTCACCATTGTTTCTTCGATGGGACACGACAGCGCCATCCTCGTGTTAGATTTGCAAAAGTACACCTGTACAATAATTACACCAGAAATTGGGGCATATATGCTGTTTGTGCGAGCGTGGAATCACAGGTGATGATGTGTTAATCAATTGGAATTACTTTGAGATGAATTTTAATTTTAATATGTTGAGGATATGCAGAAGTCTTATTTGCCTTGCATGTTGATAACAGATATACTCACAATGCAACATCTATGAAGCAGGGCAAAAGAAAGTAGCATTTAAGTATCTCTCTGAAAAGGTATCAAAATCTTTTTTTCTGGCTATTATCTTGAGTGGAAGTGGAGATACTGAAATAATCAGCATTTTTCTTTTTGATCTTATTTTTTGTTTAATATGGCATCAAGGTATGTTACCAAATAATGAGTAAGCAAGTAGTAGAACAATGTCATGAATAACATATGCTTGGTTATTTGTCTATGGTGTGATTGGTTTTTTGTGGGAATCTCCTTGCCAAGTTTCTTCATTGCCTGATTTTAGTCTGCCCATGGACTTAACATAGATTCCAATGCTGATTGTTATTAGACACCGAATTGCTTACCTATGATTCCATTTTGTGGTAAAATCACTTCTTAGTATGTATGAGATCTCTGTCTGAAGTTTCCTCTTATGTGCTTCACATCTGATTCTATTATTATGTTCTCAACTGCACCAATATGTCTTGGCCTCGCCCTTAAGCAGACTTTTTCGTAGTGATAACTTCTGTTAGCATTCTTTCACACCTGTAACTAGGGTGGCCTATTTTGGACCCGACAATTTTACCACAAAAATTGAACACTGACGATAGGAAGAAGCATGTGAATGCGTCATTTATGGGTTTGTTCACAGGATGGTCCATGTCTAGACAAGGGGCTAGATATCTGCACATCTATCTGTTGTGTTCAACTTGTTTGCGACTCATTAAGAGGCCCTTTCATCTAGACATGGTTGGTGGTCTCTTATTTGGGATGAGGTGTTGGTTATATGAATAGCCATTTTTCCGGTTGTCTATGTTCTTGGGTCATAGAAACGGGAGATTGTGAATTGTGAAAACTTGATCAGTTGGGAACATGCGTGCAGGCAGGGGACAAGGAGGCGGAAGCAAGTGGTCACATATGGTCTGAAGGAGACTTGTTCATCAGTGGAACTCAGGCGGGCTTAATGAGGGAGAGCATGGGAGGTCCCGCATTTCATCCTAGTCAACAATATACAACGTGGACAGTGGCACCTCCTACAGAAGATCTCAAACAGCTTCTTCATCACTGCACTGGATGGCAATGCGTTGCACGCCCCCCAGATCAGCCCCTGCCTGCATAAATATCAAGTAATTGAGTTATAAATGATCCTATCATTGAGCTTCATGTGTATATAAATGTGTGGTGGTGATTCACTGACTTCGTAGTGAGTTGATCTCGTGCATAAACTGAACTGCTTGGTTACTTAACCTGGGGTTTGTCCTTTTCGGTATGCTATTTGCATGAATATTTGTGAATTTTTTTTTCCGGCTTCTCTCTTGTAGGTGAAATGAGTGTGCGTATAAAATATTAGTACTATATTTGGACCTGTCAATTTTTGTCGGTGTAAGTGGGAAGTGTTACCCTCGTGCTCCAACTCAACCCTCCCTGTTTTGATGAATTCATAAGCTAAGAATAACCAGGGAAAACTCCGGATTTTTTTTTTCCAAAAAAATAAAGCTCCTACAAATCTGAGATTTTTTTTTTTAATTATCCCATCCTAATCCTTACCTATAAGTAGAGCCAGTAATATAGGTTGAATCGGTGGGTCCAACCTAAGGTTGGCTAAAAGCCAACCCGTCACTACCTCAAAAAATATAACCCGTACCGTCTTAATCTGAACTCGTGATGGGTTGGCAGTCAACCTATCTTTTTTTAAAAAAAGAAATTAAATAATGAAGGCAAAAGTGAGGCAGACTTTCACTTTAAACTTTATTGCCATTAGAAATAATTTTCACAAAAAAAGAAAGAAATAATTAGATAAGAAGGGTTATTCAATATTGCTCATTGATTTCATTGGAAAAAAATGTGAACTTGTGTATTATCATATTAGAAAATTAGACAATTATATACTATTTATACTTTATTGTGTTGTAATTTTTATTTGAATGTTTGTAATATTTTATATCATTTCTAGTGTTTTATTTTTTATTATATATAACTGCTAATATTTGAAAAAATTAAAAAAAAAAAAGCAAAAAAAAAAAATATATAAATTCTAATGAGTTGATGGGTTATGTTGACAGAATGCCAACCACCAGAAAACAAGCTTTTTGAACCAGTACTGTGTAGGTCGCAGCCCATCACAGGCCAATTCACAACCCGCGGGTTGGTTTATTTTATGAGCCCTAACTATAGGCAAGAGTGACGCACACTCATTAGGCGCACACACTTCCTCTGCCATTTGGAAGTTTGATATCATAAAAGAGGGGCGTAAGATCCTTGCGAGCTACAATCTTTCTACAAGCTCGATGTACAGGACAAATAATGATTTAAATATGAATTAATATAATCTTTGGTATTTTAAATTTACTATTATTTTGATCCTAATCCTTCAAATTTTAAATTATAGGTTTTGATTCTCAAAAGGATAAAATGATCCAAGTTTTTAGATTATAACGACCGATGTTGTAAATGAAAAGAAATTTGATAGATCAAAACCTATGATTTGAAATTTAAAGAACCAAAATCAAAATGAAGATAAATTTGAGGGATCAAAGTTTGTATTACCCCTTTAAATTTTTAAAATTATACTTATTTTGCCATTTTGAAGTTATGATGCGATGTGTAAAAAAAAAAAAAAAAAAAGAACTTACACAAAAACATATGGAATAAATGAAAAAATTAAAAGAATTAAAACAGTCCTCCGGAACACGGAAAATTGTACTATTCATGCATGAGCGTTAACCACCAATCAACATCGAGAAATAATTAAATTATTAACAGAGTTTAAAAATTGAACACGGAAAATTTACTATTCATGCATGAGCGTTAACCAAATCAACATCGAGAAATAAAAAATACAGAGTTTAAAAACTGAATAATTTTTAACATTTTTTATTGAAAAATATGAAGATAAAAAAGAAATACAGACACGTTAACCATAGTAAAGAAATACATTTTCTTTATTTGATAATTGATACACACACACACATATAGATGATGATTGGAGGGCATTTTAAAATAAACGAGGGGAGTTCCGAATCATAAGCCGTTAGTGGAGGAAACTCATCCGGCCGTACGTGCTGATAACAGCGCGCTTCTAGACACGTTGGGAAAAAGTAGCAGGACAATCGAAAACTCGTGCTTCTGAAATTACAGACAGCGATACATATGCATACTTGGTGGCAGGATTCATATATTTTTGGAACAACTACTCTTAAACAACCCAACTGTTAGTAGTTAAATTTTAACCGCTTTCAGCGCACACAGGTTATTCGTTACTTACTGTATCAGAGTTGGTGAAGCTTTTTCTTCACCTGGATATTTCTGAAGACATCGGGGAGCTTACGTTTGTCAACGCCGCAAGTTAGATAATGCCGCCGACGACGACGACGACGGCTACGATGATCTGCTATTGGAGCTCGTCCTCGCAAAGAAGAGGTTCGATACGTAACTTGCCACGTCTTCGGGAGTAAACTGGACATACTCTCTCGTTTCTCTCCATGAACCCCCAAGAATCCTGTGCGTGTCATAAAATTCCCTATAAACTGGCACTACTTTCCTGGCTATTGATCCAGTGATTTCGTCTTTAAGCGTCCGATTTGCCACGACAAATGAATTCTGCTTCCGGTACGCTTTCTCAAAATTGAAGTTGAATTTCTCAAATATTTCCTTCGCCTCCGGCGCCGCCTTTGGGTTTTCAGGCAACGACGAAATCACGTCTCCCCATGCCACCCCTCGTAGTTCGTTACGAACCATTTCATCTTCGCTTCGTGCTTCCCATCCACTCGTAGCCCAGCACCGTCTGTAAGTTCGAGTTACGCGCTCTCTCGATCACATGATGCAGATTATTTGCGAGAAACAGGTAGCCCAAGGAAGCGTCCTTGTAATGCGATGCTTTGCAGTCGAGTTTACAAAGGAGAACGAGAATTAGCCAAGCTATCCGCGAGGAGAACGGCGGCGGCGCCGACGAGCTATCGGAGTCTAAACTGTCTTGGAATGTCTCCGGTAGCGATGGCGATGGCGAATTTGGCAGCGAAGGCCAGTCGGCGAACATGTCAGAGAGCGTGTTTTCGTAATCTGCGAGAAGCGAGAGGTAGCTCATTGCCTGTGTTGTCAGTGGGTGGACACCGCCGTCGCTTACCGAAGACCTAGAAGAGTGCTTTTTGATGACAGACTCGAATTCTAAAAACACTGTTCGTACTGACTCGCTGAGTCGAACCAGCGCTGTAAGGACTTGAGATCGAATAGCACAGGTTGAATCGAACAAGAAGATGGATTCGATCTCCGGCCACAGTGCAGATAACGCAGAATACATGTCCAGCATCCGAAATATCTTCTCCGGCGGCGATTTCTTTGTTTTGACGATGAGTTCGGGTAATCGGAACAGACAAGTGGCCCCATCACTGGAAATTTCGGCGAAGCAAGACTCTCGAATGGATTGCGAAGCGCCGAACACATGGTCGCTTAAGATTCTCTCTCCGTTGAAGAGCGTCTTCACCGAAATGTTCACCGCCTCCAACCAACTCTTGATTTTGAGCTCAAGAGCTTCCCAATCCATCTTATGAATCTTGGACGAACTCAATTTGTCGACGTTCAGACGATAAACGCCTTCGTTGATGATCGACTTTCTGATACTTACGTACACGCTCAAGCATTCCTTTGCATAACCGCATGAAATCATACACTCTGCTATCGACCTCAGGTTTTCCATGGCAACGAAAGACACCCTTTCGACTTCGGAGACCGAATCGCCTGCTTCTCGAATTTCGTCGACCGGCGAGCCATTGTCAGTTTCATCGTAATCGGAGGTGCTGATGGAGGTTCGAGAGGATCTAACAGAGACGGATTCGGGGTCCAAGTAAGCCCGATTCATGGATAGGATTTGGTAGAACTCCTTCTGAAGCCTCTTCATGGCCATCTGCATTAAGTTCTGGGCTTGAACGAGTTTGTGCGAGTCGAGCGAGTGCATGAGCTGGTGCAGTTGGTAAACGCACTCGATATACTGGTTGGCTTCGCTTTTGTCGTGGTGGAAGAGGGAGCTGACTTCGGCGTATGAAGAACTCCGGGGTTCCATTTCAGAATCAAAGCCTCAGCTCTCCGAAACTAGATGCAGCAGAACTGGGAGGTGAGGGAACGGAGTGAGACGAAGGCGGAGAATGGCAGGAAATGGAGAACGACAGCGTTCTGGGTTGAACGCAGAAGCTTCTCATACCTGCATAGGTTGGTATATGCAGATTATATCAAGGGTTAGATAATAGCTTTTGAAGTTTGATGGAACATCCAAATCGATAATGGGGTTTGAATTGGCGGGTTATATATAGATTATAGAGCCGAAAAATTAAAAATGAGTGACATGACTTTAAACATGTTACTATCTCGACGACTTTTATTTTTATCTTAAATATAATATTTCAATCCACTTTGTTTCTCAAATTTTTTTTTTTAAAATAGTCCTTCTAATAATAGTAGTTCTAGCCAATAAAGTTGATTAACAAGAATATTTTAGGAAAGACAACATTTATTTATTACAAATAACTAACTTAACTTATTTCCTTAATCTACTCAAATTAGTCAACTAGTTTTTATATTACCTTTGGTCCTTAATATAAAATCTGGTTTGATTTTTATTTTGGTCCTAATTATAATATTCCAATTCATTTTGTTTCTTATATTTATGTATTTTTTTCCCAAGGTAAATCCCCCTAATAATGGTAGTTCTAGCCAATAAATTTGATTAGCAAAGATATTTTAAAAAAACAACATTTATTTATTACAAATAACTAACTTAACTTATTTTTCTAATTTTCTCAGATTAGCTAACTAATTCTTATAATTAGCACCGCAAGTAGTATTTTTGAAAGTTCTATGTGGGAACAAGCCAAGCCATAAAATTGGGAAGACCTTGTGATACAATTAATGTAATAATTGACCTTGACACAAAAAGAAATGTATAATAATTGACCCAAGGGTCAACATTTATGTCTGCATTTGGATTCTGCACTGTATTCGAGTATACGTATTTTGTGTGGGCGTTAAAAATCTATGGGTATAAACTGAAGAAACTACTGTAAAACATATATCAAAAGTTGGCATGTTCCTGCTTGCAAGATAGTAATTTTCATTTTTCAATGGCTATTCCCAAATTTATGCATTCTTCGCACAATATTATTGAATAATTATTTTTTATTATACAAATCAAGTCATTTAAAATCGGGAGAATTACAATGAAGTTCTGAACGGATTTAATCATAAAACCTTTTAGTAATTAAATTTTATTTTTGAGACTTCTTGATAATTCTCCTTTCAAACTTCATAATCAGTTAATATGCTCATCTTAAACTTCATTATATTTAAGAGAAATTTCTTTTCAAGAGATGTAGTTAAGTCTTATATGATATCTTATCGTTTTAAAACCAAAAAAAAAAAAAGCTTTCAAGATGGATTTCTATGTCAAACTAGAGATATTTTGTTTAAATACTACATCTATTCTTTAATATAAAAACTAGTTGACTAATTTAAGTAGATTAAAAAAATAATTAAATTCGTTATTTGTAATAAATAGGTGTTATCTTTCTTAAAATATCCTTACTAATCAAGTGTATTGATTAGAACTATTATTATTATCAGGAGTATCTTAAAAAAAATATGAATATAAAAAATAAAATAGATTAAAATATTATACTTAGGACTAAAATAAAAATAAAATAAACTTTTATATTAATAACCGTAGGAGGTAGTAATAAAGCAAGAAATCACCAGAAATTTGATCTATTAACGCATTATGCATGTTGGTAGTCCTGATCGTCGGCTGCGAACCGTCGAAGCAATTCATTGCGTCATACACGCGTTTAAAAAGTAGCAGATTTTACATGTTCGGGCTTTGACTTTGAGAATGTTATGTTTATACCGCAACCGCTCACTCCCATCCTCACGAAGCAGTTGATAAAAATAAACAACTGCAGAAACATGACATAACACCGCGAATCAAAATTCAAAATCTTTCACGTTTAATATCCAACAGTAGCTTACTTTCACTAAAAAGATACTACATCCGGTCTTTATACAACACCTTGTTTAATTTTTTTATATCTTAAATATAAGACCTCAATTCACTTTGTCTCTTATATTTATGTATTTTTTCTAAGATAGTCTTTTAACAATGATAGTTCTAACTAATACATTTACTTAGCAAGGATATTTTAGGAAAGCGACACTTATTTATTACAAGTAACTAATTTAACTTCTTTCTTAATCTCTCAAATTAGTCAACGAACTCTTATAATTAGGATCGGAGATGGTATTAGCCAAAAAAAAAAAAACTGCCACAATCCCACGCTTCCTGGCGATCAATTTCGATGGCTTTTACGGTGTCCTCTCTTGATTAAATACGAACGCATTATTTTAATCAGTGGGCTATGACTTTAGCTTTGATTCGTGGCACATCAAGTTGCAGGCAGGGAACGGCCAATTCTCAGGAACTGAAATCTCATTCGTCATCACGAGCATTGATTCAAGTATTGACATTGTTCATCAATTTTTGATCGGATGAATCAAATTGCATTCGACAGCAGAGTACTCAAAGATTCACTAAAAAAAAAGGCAACAAAAACAGCTCAACTGGAGAATTGCTTCCATTAAATGCTCCTTGTGTTTGAAAATTTTATATTTCAAAACTAGACAAATGGTTATAAATTCGTTCTTTTGTCCTTAAATTAATGCCTCTTTTAAATAAGTGTCACAAAAGCATTTTTTACACAAATAAAAAAAAGTTCCCAGTATTCTTTAAATAAATATTGTTTAACTGTTAATAGCTGCATTAATAAAGGACAAAGCAGAAAATAGAGCATTTAATTTAATACCTTTTTGAAATCTGAAAATGACACTTATTAAGCCATTTTGTTGTAATCAAAATATTTAAATTAATCGAGCATCAATTTTTTTTTTCTTATTTTGGAACCACGTAGTCATATCTTGCGGGGCCACGTGCAACGTCTTTATATTGATGCGCGGACATTAAAGTCGTCTTGCACATGCACGCGGCCTTCCCGAAAATGAACTCGTAAAGAGTCTGAAGGAGAGTTAGAGATTTTCAAAGGATGATGCAAGTTGTGATTGGTGCAGGGGAGAAGTGGGAAACCAAATAATAAATGAGGAGACACGAAAAGGGAAGTAAGCCCCAAGGGGCAGCAAACTTAAACCGGCACCTGCCCAAATCAAAGTTCCGAACACACAGCAAGTTGCAGAATTGAGAACTGAGAATATATGGGAATATGAAAGAGGATCTGGAGACGAGGGTAGGTTCATTCTGATGATGATGACGACGACTTCAAATAGTTTGCAGTAGCTAGTGGACATTTGACAATTCTGAACGGTAGGGGCCTAGGGGCTATGATGTGAAATTAGCTAGCCTCTCCAATGCTTGAAAAGTCAAATTACTTGTTAAATATGGAAAGAAGAGCGCAGTTATATTTGATTGCATCTTATGGTTGAACAGGCATAATAACCAGTTGTACAGGTTAGGATGACGGACAAAGCGTGGGATTAGGGTGTGAGTAATGGACTAAATCATTTGCAGTGAGTAGGTTTTCTTATTGGGAAGCAGTGATGGGAGGCATTATTAGGAAGAAAATAGAATAGAGAAGGATACGTGGGGGGATACAAGACAGGCGCAATAACACGCCTCTCCGAAGAAGCAGAATAACAATAACGGCGGTGGCCATAGAAAAGTAAAGAATTTCTAGGTGCTTGCGGCCACGCTCTGGTATATGTCGTCATTTCCTTTGCATCACATTTCCTCTCGGCTCAAGGACCCATAACCCAGTTCAGTGGCTGGAGTTTATTTGGCGCTCGCCCATGCAATATCTGACGAATACTTGTGGGGGTTAAAATCCATCACTGTGGCGGTCCATTGCGCTTGTCGGAACGGATTGCAGGAGAAAGATGAATAACAAATTAACAATAAGAATGGAAATGCATCCCATATCTACCTACAATTCACTCGGCATGTTTTCGATAGGAAAAATGGTGGTCTAATTTTTGTTATCATGTTTGATAGAATGAAAATAAGAGGAAAAAAAAAAAACGTAAAACAAACCAACTAATGAGTGAGGAACTACATAATTTTCACAAGGTTATAATCACTGAAAACCGGATTGGTCGTCAGATTGATTAAGACACTGCTTCAATTGAACTAAAACCAACCAAATCACACCTAAAATATACATAAACGCTCTTATGTAATTCTTTAAAAAAATATTTTAAAAAACATTAAATTACTCATAAACTACATTGTTTTTAACTTTTTTTCAATTCAGAATGACATCGTTCAAACTCAGCAAGGAAAAAACATAAAAGCCGAACTAGTCGATTCATCCAGACCTCCATCGCCCCGGCCAGATTTCCTACCCTGATCACCTAATTCAGATTGGGTTTCAAAACCCTGGATTTCCGATTACATGGCGGTGGTTCGATTTAAAGAACAAAGTGACTATTTTATCCTTTTCTCCTTCAGCCGTGCTGTCTTTCCCTTTACCCAGTAACGAAATGCTTTTGCTACGATTTCTCGGGAAACGAATGACAAAATGAGTAAAATTCTAAGCAAGATCTCTGTAATTTGATAACTTGGGGAAGTTATAATGTGAAGTAGCGGCATACAGGGACATAGAAGTAAAATAGCAGGATGGAAAAACTGGAATGCCGATCAAATGTAAGCATCCAAAACTAACATTCAATATATCAACTTCACTGGTCTAGAGAATACAGACTTAAAAGCAATAGATAACCCTACACTTTGATGGCATACTTCCTCAAGGGAAAGTACGTCTCCTTCTTCTTTGCACGCTCCGTCTTCAGTGACGCCTACACCCACCGAAATGAAAGAGCAGGTTAGGATAAAGCATGGGCGTCGGTAAACAGAGGGAAAAAAGGGCGTGGATGATCAAGTAAAACCAAGAACTCTCAACCAATTCAACTTCTAAATGTTTGGACAGACAAGTATCTCAATTTCCTCATTTGCACAGGTTCAACAGGGGGGAACAAATCATCCATGTAGACAAATGACTGACTATTCCTTCCAAGAACTGACGAAAGCAATGGAATTTATTTCTTAGCTACACACAAGATAACGCTTACAATAAAAAACGAAAGCAAAGTTTCTGCCTTGACAATCAGCACAACCTCAATAACCTAACTCCTTCAGCCTATTTTTCAGATTCTAGAATTGCTGCCCAAGCGCTCTCATGTAAGTTTTCAAATTGAATTATTTGTCTTCTCCTGCATCAGCACTTACATCAACTACACGAGCTATGGCACCACCGCTTTTAACGGCGACACGAAATTAGACTCTATCACATTATAATGATTTATTAACCGAAACCAAAATAATTCGACATCTAAGAGTGAATAATGCAAACTTTTCGACAAATCTAATGTCCTAAACACATATTATCAGACAAAGAACAAAATTATTTTTTATCTTTTAAAGTTTGCTATCAGTTGTTCCAGAGATAAGTAACGCAGCCTTTCAAACAAACAAATTACAAAGAAAATCAGCCACTGTACAAATTGCAATATAAAAAGAAAAATAAACCTGGTGTTTGGTGAGACGCCTGCGAATGGCTCGGGTCTTCTTGGGACGGAGATCAAGAGGCAGATACTTCTTATTTTTGCAAGCCTCTCTCAGAGTCGCTTTCTGCTTCTGGGAAATAACAGTCAACACCTGCGCTATTGACAGCCTCACCACCTTACTGCATAGTTATCAAACGCCCATTTCCCCCGATCAGTTTATAAATTTTAACATTGAAAGTGCCATAAAAACACTACTATACAGAACAGGACTGAGGATTATTACATCTTAGAGAGCTTGTTAGGGGCACCGCCGGTGACCTTGGCGACTCGGAGAAGAGCGAGCTCCGCTTTGAGATCCTTCAACTGGTTGAGTAGCTCTGCCTTTGGTTTATCCCTCAGCTCGTGCACCTTTATCCTCGCTTCAACATTGTCAACATACCAAAAGTTCAGATTTCAAATGGCAAAGTTAAAGACAAATAACACAAATTGAAATCGTTTCGGCGAAGAACATACCCATTTTCTCCGCGGTTATGCTCCTCCCGACCCTTGATAGTGGAAACCCTAAAACTATCAGAGGCGGAGTAGGAGGAAGACGAACCCTAATAAACGAGGGGCCGCGAGTCTGTAGGCTGAAAACAGAACGGGCCTACAGTAGTTATTTGGGCTTCACTTAATCCTTGCCCCAGCATTCAAAAAAATTTAATCTGATTATATTTACTATTTCTTACGATTATTAATTTTTATAGTTAGTGGCTTGTCGGTTAATATATTGCCCACCGATTTAGATGCACTGTTACACATGATATCAGTGAGGAAAAGGGTCAGACTCGACTACAAAATGAAAGATCTAGAGGCATCTTTTCTTCGGCCCCATCTCAATAGTGATAGATGTGATTTATATTTAATACACTTAGATATCTATTTATATATAATTTTGGATTTCGGATAGGATTGTATGTGTTTTATGTAGATCATGGGATTAAATCAGCCTCTGACGGACGGAAACGCTTGTATGAGTCCTTATTCACAACTAACTGCACGATAAAGCTACCAGCTTCATTACCCACAACCTCACAAGTAGTGTGGTTTTTTACAGTCAATATATTAATTTTACTTTCCTGACAAAACAATTATTGTTTATTTTTATTAAAATATATTTTCATTAGTTTAAATAAATGTGCAAATAAATGTGCGTGTGTCTATATTCTTGTGAGATAAATTTATAGGGAGAGTGATATTTAAAACTCCTTTTTCTAAACTTTATTAATAGTTTACAAATATGTTATGATCCGTTCTCAAAAATTATTGTAGGGGTGTTTGAGATTGTGAAAAATACTTTTCAAAAGTACTTTTTCAGTAAACGAGACAAACTCATCTATATATTTATTTTGTATATTGTAAAAACACTTTTAAAATTATGTTTTAGTTCCTATACAAATACCCCGTAGAAGGGAAGGACCATCCATTTCTCGTTTCGTCAAAATAACGAAATACTTTCTATCTTGCCGGCCAAAAACAATCGTCTGAGCAAGGGTGAATGGAGTGTGGGTGCATCACGAGCAGCATGCACATAATTAGATTTAGATTTGACAGATTTTGGTGACTTAGGTCTTACGTCTAACGAACGAGCCAATTAAAGCCTTTGGTAATCCGGATCTGCATCTCAAACTCAGAAGCGGCCACTGCTTTTTATGACCCAAAAAAACATGGCGGGGGCCAATTTCCTTTGCATTTACGTCTTCTCTCTTCCACGATAACTGTCATTCAACAAACTTCTCTCTGGCCTCTTTCTTTCTCGTTCTGGCCATTCCTCAAGTGGGATTGCATTAGACTCTGCTGCTCCAGTGCCTCAATCTATTGGGCATTGGGTGGCTTCAAAAAATGAAGCTTTAAAAAACAAGAATAGAAGCTGGCAGTTAAGGCTGGTTGACAACGTCACAAACTCTCATACTCACAGCCTCGCACATTTACCGACGCTGCAAGTCCATCTTTTTCACTTGCTCGTTATTTTCAACGCCCAGAAGCTGTGCTGTTAAAATAGCGATTCCCAAAACATGAAGCAGCCATACAAGCAATCCAGCTTAAATCACAGACGGGACGAAGAGATGCCGGGTGCCCAAACAACTCCACCATATTCACCAAAAACCATTAAACATCCTAGATCCCTTCCCAGATCCATTAACTACTTGTTGAAAGAGCAGAGGCTTCTCTTTATCTTGGTGGGTATTTTTATTGGCTCCACATTCTTCATCATTCAACCCACCCTCTCTCGTCTGTCCCCACCTGAACCCCGTCCCTTCGTTCCCAAATCCTTCTCTACGGGCTTGACGCTGCGTGATGAGGCTTCCCGTTCGTCTTATGGGTTGGGAGGCAAAGTGGGGAGAGTCCCCGTCGCACTCAGTGGCCGGCGTTTAAGGATTGTGGTCACCGGAGGGGCAGGTTTCGTAGGAAGTCACCTCGTCGACAAGCTTATCGCCAGGGGAAATGATGTCGTCGTCATCGATAATTTTTTCACCGGGAGGAAGGAAAATTTGGTTCACCTCTTTGGGAACCCGCGATTTGAGCTCATTCGTCATGATGTGGTTGAGCCAATTCTCTTGGAGGTCGATCAGATCTATCACCTGGCTTGTCCTGCTTCACCTGTGCATTACAAGTATAATCCCGTCAAGACCATCATATCCTTCATCGTTGAATTATCGGTGACAAGTATAAATATATTTCATATTTATTCAATTATAGTGTTTTAAACTCAGAATTTGGGATTGGTTAGTCTTGGACATTGTGTTATTTTGAGACCCTTAACTAACTATGACTTACAAGACAAACGTGATGGGTACCCTTAATATGCTGGGGCTCGCAAAGAGGATTGGCGCAAGGTTCCTTCTTACTAGTACCAGTGAGGTTTACGGTGATCCACTTGAGCACCCCCAGAAAGAGACTTACTGGGGAAATGTAAATCCAATAGGTGGGCTTCTTAATGTAAAACCAGAAAGAGACTTACTTGTCTGAGTTTTTAGCGTAGTCATGCACAACTTATATATTGTTGTTCAGTAGTCTGAAAACATACGTAAAAATTTTAGGTGAGAGGAGCTGTTATGATGAAGGAAAGCGAACTGCGGAAACCTTGTCAATGGATTATCATCGAGGTGCCGGCGTTGAGGTAGCCTATATGTTTAATTTATCAGTTGCTAACTGGCTATTGCAGGTTATCTACTTTGATGCCTGTGTTGTTGGCTTAGGAGTTCTGCGCTGGTATACTATACCATTACGATACTTAGAAAATGTGTGCATTTTGTTTCATCGTTGCACTCTTTTGCCTATACTTCTCATAATGCTTTATCTGCCAACCCGACTATCATTATTTCTCCACACAATTATATCTCCCTGGAAATTAAAGCCCAATGTAACCAATGAGCTGTAATACTCAGTATGCTATGCTAAAGTGATTTACAACTTACTAAACTCGTAGATCTACTGTATTCATAGAGTGATATGATCATTATGATCAGTAATGTAAAGTATTCATTCATGAGGAAGAGGCTAAATTATGGAGACTGGAGAAGTGAGTGTGTTGGCAACATAAAATATCCTGTACCGACTCTTTTAATACAGGGGGAGTCAACAAAAATTTTATGTGGATCATTCTTAAGCAATAAAGATAGCGGAGAGCTGCCAAAATATTCTGATCATCATTAATGAAGTTTCTACACTTATCTTCTTACTCATGTTTGAGTAATTTGATTGGCATGATATGATTTCATTTTACTATTGAGACTAAGTCTTGGTGATTCTTAGGTTCGAATTGCTAGAATTTTTAACACATATGGACCTCGGATGTGTCTAGATGATGGCCGCGTAGTAAGCAATTTTGTTGCACAGGTTTGACTCCTTTCTTTTTATTTTTTATTTTGTTTTGGGCCTCAGGGGGTTATTGTGCCTCATACCTTATTGTGCATGTTTCCAGGCAATTCGCAAACAACCAATGACTGTATATGGTGATGGGAAGCAAACAAGAAGCTTCCAATATGTGTCTGATTTGGTATAGCTGTTTAACTCTCTGTTTTAGAAAACTTCACCTATTTCTGAGTCCTTTTTTTTTTTCGTGCTATCAGTCGTGCATGCTACATGTTTAGCATAGGTTTATGGCTGGCAGAAAGAATCCATTCACTGGGTCAACTTCTAATTATTAAGCAATGCATTTGAATTTTATGTTTAGGGCAAAATAAAAATAGCCTGTTAGACATGACCTGGTGATTTATAAAAACTAGAAATCCATCCCCTGCATTGCACAAGAAGTTATGTTTGTTAAATTTACATTGGTTGAGGATATCACTTTTAATAAAATATGTACCGGAAATTTTTACACATATCGTGAAAATTGATAATTATTTACCTGGAGTTTCAGAAACAAAATTATATGACCTGCTTATAGAAAATACGTGAGCTTTTGTGACTTGCTTATCTTGTTAAAAGTTGTTTTGGTGCACAATTGGAAGATCGTTCAAGTGTTATCGGACTTTTATGGAGTAACAGAGAGAATCTGGAAAAAAAAAAAAAGGAAAACAGATTTTGGAAGGTCAACTGAAATTTTGTTATCGCTATTGTACGACAGAAATTTGATTTCAGAATGTAAAGATTTTAAACTGGACAAGTCAATATCAAGGAAGTACTTCGGGGATCTGCTTTCTATGAGAATATTTTTATTTGGCCAGTACTTGGTAGGCTCTTTTCTACGCTGAAATGATGCAATAGAGAACTCAACTTTTTTCTCAACTTACAGGTTGATGGGCTGGTAGCTTTGATGGAAGGTGAGCATGTGGGACCTTTCAACCTGGGTAATCCAGGGGAGTTCACCATGTTAGAACTTGCTGAGGTCTTGTCTTCTTCTTGGTCTCTCCTTTTCCTCTGTTTCCTAAGCTTAACCAGACATGTGTCCCCTGCATTGCATGAAACTGAAAACTCTCGCTCTGTTACAATTACTCATTTATATGAGTTTTGAGGGGAAGGAGGAGAGGACTTAGACGTAAGTTATTATTTTATGATATACTCTAGTTGTCATCTTTTTCGTAAACACGCAGGTTGTCAAGGAAACAATCGATCCGAGTGCTACCATAGAATACAAACCAAATACTGCAGATGATCCCCATATGAGAAAACCAGACATCAGCAAAGCAAAGGAACTGCTCAACTGGGAACCGAAAGTCTCACTGAGAGAAGGGCTGCCTCTTATGGTTAATGACTTCCGGAATCGGATTTTGAACGAAGATGAAGGAAAAGGGCTGTAATAAGAATGGTAGACAGCAAACCCTGTATGTACATGGCGAAGAGTTTGTCCCTGATTCAACATCTATGGATTTATTCTCATCTACTGTCAATGTCAACAGGAAGGTATGGAATGATAGCAACACCTCAAATTTGTATGACATATCTCATGTCTCCATTGTCTATTTACATGTATGCCCTCTTGTCAAATTTTGTCAGCAATTTTCTCTCGACTATTGTATTAATTTGATGTATGATGGTACATAGTATAAACTTTAAAGTTTCTCTGTAAACTTTTAGCATCCTGCTGTTAGAACATCTAAAGACTTGAGAAAGTCATAATGCTTCAACTGGCGAACAAGGGTACCATTTGCTACGTTATTTATAGTCCTCAGGAGAAGTTTGTTATTTGTTATAGTACCATTCGCACTATTCACTCTGCTTTCTCATCAGGTCAAGCCAAAAATAAAATACAGTGCCTTGTTCAGGGGGAAAAGGTACTTGGTTTCTCGCGCAGCCTGACTTAATTAACGCCGTCAAGTGTCATCTACTGAAATTGTGATCGTATCTTTAAATTTATCAACATTTTAATGCTGAACTACTTCCTTTCCTGTTCAGTTCATCTTTTATTGCTGCAAGCACCTTGTTTGTTGCAAATAGCACCGACTTTTCCTTTAATGATCTGCCAGTAACGTGTTTACGAGGAGCATCCATTAACATTAAACCTCATTAAAAAGTAAAGATGCCGTCTTTATGGGACGGCCAATTGGTATCTTCCACATCCGTTTTTTTGCCATTAAAGTCTTCATAAAATGATAGGATGTCATCTCAATGAACTTGGCACGTGAAGATGCTGCAAGATGTGTCCGTTTCTCTGCTTCATCCGACCCGAATGTTCTGAATTTTGAATATAACGCCAACACAGCTTGCTGTCAAGGTCTTGGTACGTAATAAACCTGTAGGGCAGGCCATGCTCAATGTCACGGTGCCTTAGATGTTCGTGCTGCCATTTTTATTTTATTTATCTATTTATTTTACTCTTTTGCATGAACATTAATGTGGCTGCTACCCCAGGCCCATCCAAACTGCTCTGCTCGACAAAATGTTCAGTATATACGATACGAGATATGATCGTCCTATATTACGAGGGAAATGATGAAAAGAAGGTGTTGTCTTTAAATACTTATAATCTCATCTGCAATGGATGGATGAAACCCTTGTGAAGTAAATGGTATAGACGACTGAAGAGTTAAGACAAATCCAGGGTACTTGTTAGACATCGTTTTCATTCTTGAAGGCAATAGAAATGTTGGTTGCGACTCATTAAGATTACTCTTTCTTGTCGTGTCTTGACGTGGAGGTGAATGAATAAACAGGGCATTCTTCTATTCGCTACCAACTCGTCAAATTTTGCGTCCAAGTGTTTCTTTCTGGTGCTTGATTTTGATGGGCGTGCAACGTTCCTCTTGCCACAAGATGAGACAATTGAAAATTATTAGGATACCCTTCAGTTGTGAACTTTATTTTGGTATTATCGGTTTGCAAGCGATCTAAAACTTCACCACTAGCCCCTCTTTAAGGAATTGTTCTTTCTCCCTTTGATTTGACCCGAAATTAATTTGCTATGGCTTTAATGGAAGCTTAACTCCTTTATGATCTATTGCGTGTGCATGTGATTCTGATTTCTTGTGTATTATTGCGTGATCAACTTGTTGTGTGTTTGTTATGAATTCACGAATATTCCAAACTCCTTACCTATAAAATCATATGAACGTCAAAATGAACAGTTTAGTGCTGAAAATGAACACTTATCTTTAAAGAAATATCAAATGCCTAAGTTTATTGACATAGAGACAGATAAATTTTGTGGCGAATGACAAACAAAAGTTATTTAAAAAATAAAGATTTTTGATATTTTTGGACAAAGTGCGTGAAGAGTATATACCATAGACCGTGAAGTTAGTATTGGATTCTCTCTTATTAAGCGAGTGGCCTAGCACAGTGGTTTGCGTTTCCATTTCAATCGGCTCCCTCCGGCTCTACATCTCAGCCCAGTCACCCCCAACACTCAAAGGTACTGAAACTCATAAGCATTCAGTATTTCGCTTGTAAAACCTCTCTCTCTCTCTCTCTCTCTAAACCACTAGTTCTTATCTGTAAGACTGTAATCATTATCCAAAGATGAAAGGCATAGATATCCTCTGTAGTTCCCAAGCTTCTACTGCAACATGTGTTGGCATGGATCAAGCTTTGTCCTCCTCCTATTGCTCATCTTCCAACTCCATCCAACTGGGTGGTCGAGCCATTGATCGTCACAACCCCATCATCAAAAATCCTTCCAGATTCCCCTCCAAAGCTCTCGCCACCCCTTCTTCTTCTTCTCACTCACGCCCAGATCCTTATCATCACCACAAGGCTAAGAAGAGCTCTTGTTCAAAGCCAAAAGACATGCATAACAAGAGTTCAGCCAAGAGTCATGACCAAAAGAACCAGAGTAGTGGAGGAAAGCCGAGTGAAAATATGAAAGTCAATTATTCTTCTAATCCAATTAATAGTATTCTTAGAAGGAATTGGGTTAGAGTTAGACCACCTGCGGATTCAATGAGTCCTGCTGGTTCATCCAGATATCTGCTGAGTGATGCTGATGATTATGAACCCGTTTTAGCATTACCTTCAAGTGATGACCACAAGTCTCAAGTAGTTCTTCGAGACGAAGCCAGCATTGCTTCTAAACCCTCGGCTTCTTCTGACCAGGTTCCTTGTCTCTTTATGTTACTTGTTTAGGATTCTCCAATCTGAGCTTTTACTGGTTGTGAATAAAGAAATGTTTCTTGCAGGTAGTGGTTCTGAGAGTTTCTCTGCACTGCAAAGGCTGCGTAGGAAAAGTGAGAAAACATCTCTCTAGAATGGATGGTACCTATCAACCCCTCTCACAAACTCTTCTGAAACCTCAATCAGGCTTCGGCTTTTAGAAATATTCGTCAAAGATCCTTTTGTTTTTTTCCCCGTAAACCAAAATCTGCCTCAGTTTTGCATTCAAGTAATTTCCCTCATGAAAGAAGCTAATAATGCTGTGAATCATGTGGGCAGGAGTGAGTTCCTTCAGCATAGACTTGGCAGCAAAGAAGGTGACAATAGCTGGAGATGTGAATCCACTGGATGTCTTGACAAGCGTATCAAAGGTCAAGAATGCTCAGTTTTGGCCAGCATCGGCTGAAACAAAGACAGCAAGTTTGATCTAGTTGATGAGGAATTAGATGCAATTAGCGGTGATGCAAATATTAGGAAGCTTATTTGTATCCCTGAAGGCGTGTGAGAGGCTGAATTTTATTTGGTACTATTAAATTAGATTTGAAATTAGCTAGGGCATGGCGCGTTCTCATAATCACGTATGTCCCTGACCCCAAGGTTTTGCTGCAATACTGCCACAGCCTGCTCAATATTATTTCTGAGGGTTTTAACAGCTCTTTTGTGTCTCAATCATGGACTTGTTTGGAAGAGCAGTGAAAATCACTTATAAACACATTTCATGCAAGCCGATATAAAATTTCTCTGACATACTTGTCTCGTAATTTATAAATTAGAATTAAAAAACTACTTATAAAATGTTCCAAAAAAGCCTTATATGCTATGATATATTTGGAAATTCACGATTATTTCTAATGTTGGCCAGAGTTTACCTTCTTGGTTCTTGCACTGTACAAGGAGGAATCAATCAATTTCCTCTTCTTACGATGTTATTTAATGAAAACCATGTCGTCGTGGTTCATTTGGGCAATCGGTTGTTATTTTCCTAAGTGGGGTAGATTCTAATGTGAATTTCAGGCTCTTTTATCTCGCAAGGTTTTTACTGCCAGGGAAAAATATGAAGATACAGGTGTTCCGGGCAGAAACAATCTCACGAGTAAATTATCTGCATCTCAATCCACCTCCTAAACTTGTGATGGTTTACTTCAAAGTCTCCTGATTGCTTTGTAACTGGCCCCGTTTGATCTTTGAAAAAACTCCAATCTGAAGATAAACCTATGCATCCCCATCAAAAATTTAAAAACCAGATGAAGAACAACGAACGCAATCGAAGAGTTTTGTGACAAAAATGACAAGTGAATGGTTCCATGGTGTTGTACAAGCCGAGTTGTACCAGATGCATGATAGCGACTCGATAAAATGCAGCACATGGTATCGATTAAATGGCGAATAAAAATGTGCACTAGTGGTTAAATATTAGAAGACAAGAGCAATGATTTCTTCTAGCCATCTTTAGGCTGTAGAACACAGAGTACAATATACATACTGAAAATTGAATCAAATAAGTTGAACTTGATTTACGCTTACAAGTCAATTACCCCCGAAATAGATTTACGAGTGAATTGCGAGTGTTATCATCAAGCCAGAATTCTCATAATTTGCCCTCGGAAGTCCGGCGGAGCCTGAAGCATTTCTCCTGCTACAACGGCGACCCCATCCACATTAATTCTGCTGAAGCAGTATTTCAGGTAATTAGTTTATTTACACTAGAATCAAAATCTGCACTATTTTCTATTTTGCTTTTATCTCTGCATTCCAATATCTGTCATATATATGTATTGTCATTATTGAGGCCTAGCAGAGCCTGAAGCATGTCTTCTGCGACAATGGCGTCCACATCCGCTAACTTTCAATATTTTAGTTTTTTTTTTTTTTTCAAACGACTAATATGTACAAAATTATTTCTTATCTTGCCAAACAAGTACTTGGTTTCTAAAAAGGAAAAGAAAATCCAGAAAATGGGTGTGCGTTCTGCTCAGAGAGAGCATATTCACTCACTGCTAGATCTCGTATTTGCAGACGTATTCAGCAACTCATCACAGCAAAATACACACCCTTGTAAGTAAACAAACATTTCAGAAGAATGACACGTTCAAAAAAGATCCAACGAATCACCAGTAATTTGCATCAAAAGAAATAAATTAACCTAAAAATGTTCACTCGTCGTCACCACGGAATTCATAAAATATTGGCATCAGATAATAAGCGGAGTTATATAGTCCACACAGGAACTTCAGTATGTAGGATAAGATTTTCTTCATCATTTGCCATTTAGAGTGGGGAGAATTGTGAATACATGGAGGCGAACACCCGTATAGTCGAATCGAAAATCAATGTGAGGGGAAACAAGACAGAAAGAGAGAGCAGAAAAGTTTGAGAAACAGAAACTCCCAAGCAGCGGAGAGTACTCCTCCGGAAAGCGGAGACACAAAGCAGGAGGCGCCGGCTCCCTTACGAAATCTAAAGTCTAAACCCTAACATGAAGCATAAGCACCGTCCCGAGATGACCTGAATTTATAAGTCCGAAGTCCTGCACCAACTGAGCAGATTTGAAGGTTCGACGCACTTGAGGCACGGTCGATGGTCATCCCCGAGGGAACAGATTGGGCCCTAATGGATGGGCTCTGGGTCCAATTGTTTTGAAACGCTGTAAAGAATTAAAGATTCTCAAGGAAAGGGCCGATTTTTATCCTGTGCTTTTTTCTGGGGAAAAACGTCATAATTGATAATTCAGCTTTGGTTTCGTTTGGTATCAAAACCTCCGGTATTTTTTAGTATTAAAAAAAATTGTGGGTAGTGCCACTTTGATCATGAGAAATGTTATTTTGTTGTGACTCCAATCGCAGTACTAGGGAAGGCATCTCCACAGCATAGTGAAACTGAGAGACTCTTATCTATTAGGCTAGACATAAAAGGCTTGCTTGTTATGCTCTTGCGTTCATACAAACAAGTCCCAGTGGATCAGACATTAAGTGTCCTGTTTTTAGATCGTGAATGAGCCTAACCCCTTTTCTTTTTTTTTTTTTAAACCTCTGGTATTTGTTTGGTTACACTTAACGCAAACATGTTATATCCGACCCATGGGCTTCGGCCCGACTCCGTAAAATATTGAATAAAATTACTAGTGGTTGGCAGATTCGTAATTTTTTAAAAAAAAAAGTTTTTTTACAGTAATGATCTCAGATCCACGAGACAGTGCTGCGGAGCAAGTTCATGACGTTGAAATACTAGTGCGCAATAATGATTGTAGAAACCTAAGAAGAAACTGCAACTTCTATAAAATTGGAGAGCGCACACCCTTTCGGCTGGGCTAATTCTTCAACTTACGAATGGCTGATGTGTTTCTACCATGAGAAATCTGACCCACCAACTCTTATTGAAGGAGTACTCTCTGATGGAATTGATCATTGTGTATCACATTGGAGTCTTACAAGTATTGCGGGGTTCTCAAATATAGAGTTTTTCTTCTTAATAGACTAGTCTTTTGATATAGGCTTTCTCTTTAAGTTTATGCTTATTATATTGATGTTTTCATTAAAAGTCTGATGTTCATGGAGATGGCTAGATGATTCTGACAGGCATAAAGCCAAGTGAAGTGTTGTGGTATGGAGCTGTCAAAGACATCAGCTCTTGAGGGGCATATATTATTATGAGTCTCATATTAAGAAATCTGACAAATATTACGAGGTTTATCAATATAAGGGATTATCTTTTCTAATATGCTAGTCTTTTAGAATAAACTCTTTTTTTGAGCTTGTGTTCCAGGGCTTTTAAAAAATATAACACTTGGATTTTGGAATAATTTAATCATTCGTTTTTTTTTTTATATTGTTTTCATTCGAAGACAAGAGTCAAATAACATTTCATTCTATGTCATTCCGTTTAAAATCAAACATAATTTAGGATCGCATAACTACTCTCTCTTCGACTCATTTCCATCAAAAGCGAACTTTATGCAGAACTGTTTCGAATGCAATATATAGATATATCTTTGCCATATAGAAATTCAAAATTCGGTTTCATGCAAAAGATTATATGATCCTTTTTATTCATCTTTCGATGAAATTAAGATTGTACTAATTGATTTACATGAGACGCAGCCCCCTACTTTGGGTACAAAATGTCCGAAGAACCAGCTACTTCTGCCACTAGATCATCTAGTATTAGTCTCTCAACTTCGCTACCTATTGTATCAACGTCATCTCTCACGTCCAGCCACTCCGATTCCCTTACGAGAACCTTTCCCAGAGCGTCATTCTCTACCTTCCCTTGGCTCCTCAGAAGAGCGCACAGATCATCTTGGAGCCCCTTTTTCATCAATTTGCAACCAACAGTATTCGTCACCGTTGGATTCAACCATGGTCGATCACTCTCGAATTGCTTGTAGATCTTCACGATGCTGGAATTTACACGGTCAAAAAGCATCCTCCTTTCTGGCCTTGAGCAAGCTGTACAATCAGAGTACCTCTTTTCAAGTTCACCAAACACTGTAGGACTCACAGGGCACTCAAGAGAGTGCCATCCTTCCGAATATGCAAGGGGATAGGTCCCATCAATGCCAGACTCAGACAAGACATCATTAATGTAGGAAGACTCCCAGCTATCTCCGTTTAATCCATTCCCTTCTGAACTTCCAAGATATGCTTCCCCACCATCTTCGTCACTTGAAATCAGCATGGGTCCCTCCATATATTCCTCGGATTCCAACTTTTCCAACTTTAGCATCTGAAGTTGCATCCGAAGACCTAGCAAGAAGGAAGTTTGTTTAAACCAACAACAGAACAGGGGGAAAAGAATCATAATGACGAGTTTGGAAGGGAATCGTTTAATCCTTAATTTCAGTGGATAGAAGCTACAAAACAGGTCATAGATGAAAGTATGATCGCTGTTGACAAACTCTTGTACCAGTGACGCGTGGTCTTACCAAGAGTACAGAGAATTCAATTCCACTTCCATATATACCATGGTTAGCAAGAGTTCGTTAAGATGCTAAGAAAGGCAGTTCTAGCAAAATTGCCATTCTAGCAAGTTTTTAACAAACATAAGTTTTTGAAGCCTACCTAAGGAAGCACGTCATTTCACAATTCTAACAAAGAATTAGAAATTAGATAATTCATTAATTCATTAATGACATAACAAAGAAGTCATAGATCAGATGAATTGATGAAAGGGCAGCAATCTAGTCTGTCAGCAAAATATGCGGCTAATTTAATTGGGAATTAAAAGGATGCCCGTCAAGTCACAACTAGTTTCACAGTAAGATTGAAAAATAATGAATGCACTGAAACTAATAGGAACTATTATAATGTGTGGATCACAGTTATCAAGGTATTTCATATTTGCTTCGAGAATCTGAGCAACTGCAATCGCTTGTTCACTTTTATCCCCAATATGCTATTCAAACGGATGAGGAGATAATATTGTCAAGTAGATAAGTAAGTCCCAGGGGTCAAATAACAGGAAACAGCTCTCAAGCTCATTGTTCAATTTGTCATGGAATCAAACAGCTGCATTCAATATTTTTTTCGCTTGAAAATAAGAGAAGAGAGCTATTCATGTTGCACAATGATAGTGAACTGATTCTGCAATTACTACACTTGAGTAACCCTATCACGTACTGAGGATGGAAGAGCTAAAGAAAAAACATAGGCAGTAGGAGGGATGATGACTAAACACTACGTCCCAAAATAATCAACACAAATATCTGATTTAGTTACCTTGGAGGTCAGCGCTGAGACTTTCAAAGCATTCAGAACAAGATGATAGATCATCTGTAAATGAAGGCTCCAGGACAGAGACTGGACTTGGTTGATCAGCATCTTTACAGCATGAAGATTCAAGTCCAGGTACAAGTGGTTGAGAGGAGACCAAACTTCCACTGGAGGAACCAACTGATGGTTCCTGAAATTAAACAACGTATATGTGAGAAGCAGGAAACATAAAATGCCGGCTTAAAATGGAATGCACTGAAACTAAGGAACTATGCTATGTTTGGGAACAAAGTAAAGCACCGAAATAACAATAATGACAAGATGAGCTTGATGTTCTTCGATTTTAGAAAATAGGAAAGTACAAAACCCAATGTTAAACGCCCAACTCAACCCTAGAGATTTGAAAACACGTTAAAATAGTTATTCCAATTTTGAAATATTATTAGATGATTACGATTATTAGTTTTTCATAGTTTTGTAAACAAACAGTCACATAGGGTAACATTAATTAGTTAACTTTGACATCTAAATTAATAACACTTTAAAAGAGCCCTTTATTATTATTATGAGTTAGGACTTGATGAATAGAATTATGCTTGAGCAGTGATGCGAGTCGCTGAATTAATGCTTTGAAGAACATCATGTCTAGTGACTTGAATATGTTTCAAGGGTCAAGTCGAAATTTATTTCAAATTTGCTAGCGCCTGTCAACCTAAGATAGAAGTCTAGTGTCTTAAGAGTGACTTTCACCTACGCCTACCTTGTTAGTAAAAATGAAACAGACAGTAGAGGAAAGCAATATTCCCAAAACGAAAAGTTAAGGGAAAGAACACAAATGTATACATATCAACTGGAAATCGTAGAAACTTAACCTGTTGCATTAAATTGTCTTCTTCAACGGCACTAGGCTTGCCACTGTTCGATATGCCAGAAGGTAATTCACGAAGGTCTGGATCTGGAGATTCAGAAGAACCAGCTGCATTTTGGAGTGCTGCATTCACAACATCTTCAGTAATTAGACTTGTATCTCTGGGGATCTCAGTTAATGAATCAGATGATGGAACTTCTATCTTGGGTGAATCTTCTTCGGCCTTGGCATTCACTTTATCCTGGATTGTCTTAATGTCTGGTGAAGAATCATAAATTTCCATACTTGTACAATGAGAAGACATGGACTTCTTATGACCAGATTTTAAGTTTCTGGTATTCAAACCTTGTTGCTGATAAAAACTCTTCGCAGCTTTTCTTCTTTCCCGCTTAAGGGCTTCTTTTGGCATGATAAATCGATCAACGTGAAGTGTCCTAGGACTTCCAAATCCTGTGGATGACGCAGGAAGTGATCTTGATCTTGACAGACTTCCAATACATCCATCCTTCCAACCATCCTTGCTGCTGATACCCAAAGGTTCAGCTGACCCAGCAGGTGAGCCGTTGGCAGCAAATTTATTATAGAAACCTCCCCCAGAAGACGTACTCTTCAAATTTGCTGCATTCATTTCCTTATCAGGTACAGCAAGCATGTCAGCCAGCGTGCTGCCCCGGTTGATGGCTTGCACCTGTTGGGACTTGTGTGTCATCTTCCACCTCTCTGATAATCTTTTCTTCGCCTCCCTACTAACAGATGATTCACTTGATCTGGATGATGGCCTGCTATGATTACTTACGTCAACAGAGTTTGCCATGGTTGCAGATGTTACCTCAGATTCCTCCGCAGATTCATTTTCAGAGAAGTCACAAGAACTATCATCCCCAGCATATCCTCTAATTCTAGAAGATGAAAATATCGTAGATCCGTTGTGTATGCTACTTTTCATTCGCCTAGTGATTTCCTTTGCGATTTCTCTAGATTCCATTGAATTTTGCCTTGAAAACCCCAACGTATCAGGAAGGTTTCTATTATTCAATTCAAGTCCCCTATTTCTGACATCTGGATATGCAGCGCTATTTCCACTCTCTGATAAGAAAGCATGTGAAGAACAAGATGATGCAATAAATTTTGTAGCACTCTGCACCTTTCCAAGATTGGGTTTTAAGACAACAATCCTTGTAGGGATTGCATCTTCTTTGTCTTTTCCACTCAACTGAAGCTTTGGTGATCTTGGTGAACTGTGGACAGCATGCCTTCTGTCAAATTGTGCAGGATAACCATCAAGACGCTTCTGATGAGATCTATTGCAATTCAACCTGGTCGTGTCCCGAGCAGACCTCCAGCTGAAGTCATGATGTTGTTCGTACTTCTCCATATCTGTTGATCTCATAGCTTCTACGTATTTACAATGTGATTGAAGTGGAGCAGTTTGTAGATCATTTAGATGCTTCTTGAATAACGAATCTGGCCGCTGAAAATATTTTAGTAGAAGATCTGTGTTAGAGTCCAGAACCTCCAGTGCATCATCAAATTCCTTTGAAGAGAGTGAATCCCTGTCAGTAGCCAAACGTTTGGCGTCCATGAACTTCTGTTCAATGAATGATATTTCAGCATCAGTTGCGATCAAGTCAGTACCCTGCGATGGATATCTACAGCTCTCCGCCCTTGGGATCTCAGAGACCTCAAAAACATCTTTAAATTCTTGCTGATCCCTTGAGCTTCTCCTGGATGATCGACCACTATGAGTTACCTCCAACTGTGGCCTTCTCAGCAGATGGACTTCAGAGGAACTTTTGTGCTGCTTATTGGCAGGCTGTTGCAGAGGCATCCCATCAAGACCCATCAATCTGGCAATAACACTAGGAGCTCTTCTTTTGGAGTCAGTTTCTCCCGACATCTCCTCAGCTAGTAACTTTTTTATGGGAGTGCCAAAAAGTTGTTTTGAGGATCTCCAACCGAATTTAAATGACGACTGCAAAATAAAGTGAAAAAAAAAAAAAAGCATTAGCTTGCCGCTTCCAATCTATTAATTCTTTTGAAATGACTGATAATCTCATAGAGAGAAGTTAAAAAAATGCAATATATGAATACAACAACCCTTTAACTTGGGAAGGTTCTTTCTTCATTCATAAATGCAAAGAAGTAGATCATGCACTAATGGAGAGAGGTTGCTAGAGACAAAAGAAAAAAACCAGCGCACCGAATCTTTAGGTGCCACACCACTAGCGGAAGAGCTGGAATCGGAGGGCAAATTTGGATGTTTTCTCCGTCTGTGAACCTCCTTGTTTCCTGGAAATGAATTCTACAACATTGTTAGCTCGAATATTCAAGAGGAGAAATGAGGAAGGCTTTAATTAGTGTTAGTAATGGCGGCAATAAAACACTTCAAAGTACTAAAATCCAGGCCAGGAAGCAAAGATGAAGGTCTTATAAGCGTATAAACTACTTATTACAATATCTGGTAAAAGCTGTTGAAAGAGTAGCCGCAAGAAATCGCGACGCTCACATTTACGCGTGAATTAAGGAAAATTTTCCTTTGCGAACAATTGATTGACACAAAGTGCTTTTTAGAAACGATCCATAATGAGGTATTGTAAATTTATGACATCATGATCTCCGAAATCCATTATTAAACCAAACAAAATCATGCCGATAGAACCAGTAGAAAAGTTAAGAGGCAGTTTTCAAGCCTAATTTTAGTAAACATACAAGCCAGTCCAAGACTTCGACCACCTTAGGTTCACACTGAGTATTAGAAAGTGTTTCTACATGTATATAAATGCTGGCGAGCTCAAGCAAGAAGTTGAAGCTAAGTTTTAAAACGGTTAATGACCAAGAAAGTCAGAAATTCTCCAGGCCAACCAGCTTCGACTCCATTACTCAGAAACTAAGCAGAAAGAGGGATGAGAAAGAAGAACGAAAAAGAAAAGGAGAGAGAAAATGCGACCTTCGGAAAGAGCAGGGTGGGGCTGGGAGGAGCGATCAGCGGAGGAAGGAACGTTGCATCTCTTGTGGCGAAGCTTCTCCATAACCAGTCATGAAAGATGCGTGAATTGGAGGAAGAAGGATCGATAATAGAGAAAAGGAAGCGGAAAGGAAGGAAAAAAGAAGAGAGAGGGAGGTGGAGAGAAGATCACGGGAGAGAAGGAAAAACCCTAGGATTCTCACTCTCAGCTAATTCAAAAATGCGTGACGAACGCAAGCAGAGTGAGAATGAAAAGCGAAAACGAAAATGCAGATCTTGAAATGAGCAACAGGATTGATTTCAGAGAGAGGAGAGAGTGAGAGCAAGTAGCTGATGATAACTGAGAAAGAAAGAAAAGGAAAGAGAGAAACGGGAGGGAGAGACGGGCATTAATGGAGGTCCGTTATTGGCGTCAAGAGAGGGAAGTGGGAGAGAGAGAATGCTGGGGAGTGGTAAAGAGAGGTGGGGGGTTTATTTTTGAACTTTCAAAAATACCGATACACCGACGCCGGACCTCGCCCCTCTGCGCGGGCGAAACTCCGTCCATGCTACGTTCCACGTGTCCACTTCCTAGGATTCCACCTTTACCTTCTGTGTGGTTTGGGTTTTACGTGCCTCTCCTTGCTCTGCTTGTTCTCCTCCCCGTCCCTGCTTGTCAAGCGCAATTTTTACCATTAAAAAAATAGTACTCCTCCGGTCCAAGACTCAATTTGGCTTTTTATTTGGTCCTAATTATAAGACCCAATCCATTTCTCTCTTATATTATGTATCAAGATAATCCTTCTAATGATAGTTTTAGCCAATATACTTAATTAGCAAGGATATTTTAGGAATGACAACACTTATTTATTATAAAAACCAACTTAACTACTTCCTTAATCTCCTCAAATAAGTCAATTGGGTATTTAAAGTAGTATAGTACCCAGCTATTAAGATTCTGGCCAAAAAAAATACAGCTGTTAAATTAATCAGAATGTTTTATGTTTCTATTTTGAAAGGAAAAAACTATAAAAACAACTTATCAAATTTTCATGAAATTTTCTCTCCTCTTTTGTGCGATTTCAACTAACATGGCTTTAGAATTTAGATGACAAAAATTGAAAATATGGTCAGAAATACTTTTGTGGTCTCGTCGTGATTATCTCTTGGAAAAATATCTCTGGTATATATTTTTCCTCATTCATCATTCAAAAACTAGATATCCATCGCAAGTAAGCAGTGACTAATCCTTTGCAGCAGGGACCTCCACTTAAAGCAAACGGCTGGCCACGGAGCATTTTCATGCCTAAAGATAGGATTCGAACACCCCACCACTTGGTTAAGAGACCAAGTGAGGTTACCACTAGGTTATTACCATGCCGTTAAAACGTATATAAACTTTAATGAATAACCTCTGAATTTTTCCTTTTTGAAATAATACGAGTAGTGATGGATGGAATTTAAGATACACAAATCCATTACGAATATTAATTTGTATCTTCCTAGTAATTATGACTATTTATGACCAGTGGATAACAATCCAAGCAAGCAGATCCTTGATGGCGATGCAATCAGGATTATCATTCTCTTAATAGTCCAAAATTATACTAAACAAACTTTAATATTTAATACAAAACATAATATGTAAAAATTTTGCATAATAAGGACAAAGGGAGATATGAGACACACGTGATACATAGATAACACTGTCCAAAACAAAACTTAATTTAGAATTTTAACCATGCAACATATTTATAATAAATATAGAGGAGTCAAGGTCAGATCAGATCTGGTATTTTCAAACTGGCAAGATACGCCTTTAAACCAAGTAATAAATTAAACATATGATCATAGAAAAGTGCCCGCTGTTAACAAAATTAGGCTGCATGCATGGACGGTATCATACAAATGAAGAAGATCGTCATCATTTTTATAATAATAATAATAATATTATTATAATACAGGTAGTGGGAAAGTCTCTACGCGTGTTGCTCTATTATATGCATCCGCCGAAGAATAGAAAAGGGTGGTCTTATATATACGTGTGTGTGTTGAAAATGAGGAAGGGGACAAATTTTATATTTAAAATGAAAGCAGCACTCTGGTTTTGTTTGTTGTGCTGTGGGATGCTCGATCTGTGTTTTTCAATCTGACAAGCTTCTTTTGTTTTCTATGAAGCGTGCAGCCCTGGCTCCCTGACTCCCTCCAGGGTTTTGTTTCCTATCCTCCGTTTTAATGAACTCATCAACTTTTTTTCTTCCCCCACTCTTCAGTATGATATTTAGGTTCTGGATGATTTATAAATAAATTTTTAATTATAACTTACGAAATAAGAAATAAGTATATGATGAGAGTTTTATCTAATCTAAAGAAATTCATAAATATGATAAATGAGTTTATATAGGACCAAATCTAACTCAATAACTGGGTCCTATATTGACTCATCAACTTGAACAAACTCATGTAGGTAAAATTAAAAAATAATATATGTAAAGTAGGGAGGAGAGGGGTTGAATGAATTGATGGGGAATAGATTAGAAGGGCCCGGGGGGTGGCTTTGGTGTGCAAATGAAGGAAGCCGTGGTAACTTTTTTGTGCGGGGGCTTTGCATATTTAAGAGGGCAGCTTAATTAGTAGGAGTACGTAAGGGAGACAAATTGCCATTGTGCTTTAATCAAAGGGCATCCCCCAGTCCCATCACACCTATTCATTCCCCCACTCAATTTTTATTCCCCCGCGCCTTATACGCTGTACGTCTCCATGTCTATCTCAATTATTTCACCCTCCCACAACACCATCATGCTTACTCGGACTCACCTGTCAATTATTTTCGGCAAAAATAGCATACCAATAGTCCCTTCAATAATGCGAATATGGTACATGAAAAGGCAACGCTAGTTTTATTATTATTTATTTTGCAAAGGAAAAAAAGAAATCCAGTCACGACAGAGACTCGCATGTGCGCGTCTATACCGATTACTTGTTCACTTTCCCGTTCATGGGTCAATTTCTGCTTCATAGAAAAGTTGAGCAGAATAGTTTGATATATTTGTGTGTGGTTGATGGGCATGCAAGAGTGACGAGACGACCATTGTGCGCAACTGGCACGAGGATATTATTTGACTTGCAAAACGGGCTAAAATTATTAGAGGGACAAGTTAATAATGTGGTGGTTAACAAACTATGGGACCGAATTGACTTGGCGGGGAGGCCCTGATTTGTTAATTACCATAATTAAAAAGGAAAGGAATTACTACCCGGGAAGCTTAAGACTGGGGGGATTGGGAGGGGCACAGGACATGGGGCTCTTTGGATTCAGTGAGGAGGCAGGCCATTGGATCCGAAAGGAAAAGACAGGAGAAGCGAGAAAGATGATGTTTGTCTCCGACAGCCACAAACGAAAAAGGTTGCTACAAAGCAACGTTGAATGGGGTCACAATCATTCGGGAGCTTCTTCTCTGTGCTTTTTTTTTCTTTTAATCAATCAAAGGCCTCTCCTTTCTTTCTTTCTTAGAAGCATGTGAAAGTGAGAAACTTTGGATTAGGGACCCCCCAGGCCCCCACCATCAAAATTTCAATCATCGTGTCTTCTTGTCTTTCTTCCTCACTCTTACTCCTACGACTACAACTAAGATAACAAGGATCGTTGTCTGGGTAGCCCTTGTGCCCCCTCATTAATTACCCACCCAATCACTGCCTGCCACCTCGTTTTTCCCCCCTCAAAATGGTTGACCCTTCTGACACTCTCCATTAAATTACCGCGTCCGGACAGAAAGACACCACCAAATTACTGCATGATTGTTTCCTCCATCTAGGAGCCTGACACTTCGTCCCTTCATTTTTTTGTCCCGCTGTACATATACTACAGATAATGATGAACGGATCAAACATTTACTTGTAAATGGATGAGCATCCTAACTAATAATTTTTGTTTATATTAAATTTTAAGGTAAGTTTATAAAATAATGTTGTAGTAGGCCCTCTCTAAAAAAAAATGTTGTAGTACTCCCTCCATCCTATTTTATAAACAACAACTACCATCTTCTTCTTTTCTAAATATAAACAATATTTATAAGTTGTTTTAAATTTTTGTAGCAAATTTTCTATTTTACCCTATTAATCACTTATTTTAATACTTAATATATTTATTATCTCATTTTATAAATCATTATCTCTTTATTACACATTCTCTCTCTTCAATAATTCTATTTATTATAATAATTTTCGTATTCTCTCTCTTATACCTTCTCTCCCTTGTAAATAAGAGTATTTTACAGAAAAAAACTTTTAATTTTTACATATTTATTATTTTTACCTAATTTTAATTAATATTTTAATCTACATAATAATAATAATAAGTTCTAATGTTATTTATAAAAAGAGAGGGGGGAGTAATTGTTTACAAATGGTTACGTAGTGTTCATATATTGACCACAATTTTTTTCCCCATCTCTCCGAGGTGCGTGCGCAGGTATGGGCATTTGCGTGTCTTTTACCAGAATCCCTGTGTTTTGTTTTTTGTCACAGTAATTCGATTTAAAAGCTTGCAAAAGACGACAAACATAAATGAGTAATTAAAGCAAGTTGGATTAATTAAAGAGTGATTTACGTAGGCCCGGACAATAATGGCTTTTGAACGAGGGCGGGGACTTTTGACGAGCACAGGGACGTAGCCACACTTGGGCACCCTTCGTTCCACTGAATCACAGAAATCACAACCTAATGTGCGATTTGTCTGAGCTTGAAAGTCGACGAATCTTGTAGATTAAGACCAAAACCAGGAAGCATTTCTACTTACTACGTGATTAATAACATCCTAAAAACGCAAACTAAAAAGAAGCCTAGGAATTTAGGGCTGCCTAACCCCCTGTTCTGGGGCCTAAGTTTAGGCAATATACATTTAAGTCAAATCGCCTGAGCAAATTAATATCGAGCCGCCAGCCTAAATTCTCTTGATTAACCTACAAGGCTACATCCAATACGATGAATGCACTTGCTTAATGCTTCTTCTTCAATTCAGGGCGGGTTAGGCTTGAGTCCGCTTTCAGTGGAAACTTTATCAGCTATCATGAAGCATGGCTTTGCCATTATAGAACCAAGCCTCGCCACCTGTTCTTGTGAATCTGAAAAGCATTATCGGATAAGGGGATCAAGCTCTTGACTTTTGTTTGCAGTCCAGATCAAGAAAGTCCCTTAGATTCTTGCTTACATCACACACATGATTGAAGAAATGCAGATGGGAAAGAGAAGAAATGAAGATGTACATTCCTTTTTTATGTTTTTCCTTTGCTCTCTCTTAATTTTGGATTCAAAGAAATTCCCGATGACAATAATGCCCCAGAAGCCAAGAGAATCTCTAGGTCAGGGCTTTTTGTCCAACGCGAAGCAGAGGCTCCAAAGAAAAGAAATTAGTAAAGGCAGAAAAGTTCCTAGTGGTTATTTTTTTTTTTTAAAAAAAAAAACTTAAAAAAAGTTCCCAGTGGGACGGTTCTGTGCTATCCTGCGAGGGGACATCAGCTTGATGGCTCACCCTAACAAAACGAAAATTTGAACGATTTTCTTCATTCAATTTCCTGTGGCCGAAAATCACAAAATTTGATCAGAACATATCAAAGAAATCAGAGGCGCGTTTCAATGTGATTTGATTAGGAACTCAATGGTATGGACGGTAAAATTCAATTGCCTAATGCTTGACTCTTTTTCCCCCTTCTTTTTTTTTTGAATAAATTTTTACCCCCTTCTTTAGATTCAAATAAAACCATAATGAACAATTAAAAAAAGCCGCAAGCTAATCCATACAATCAGGGAGCAAGCAAGCTCAGGGCCCGGCCCGGATTTAAGCTTCTCATAAGAACAAATAACACAAGTTCTATGTGTATACGCATATTAAAATAAACAAAAACCTTGCTTGTGTTATAAAATACACTTTTTGAAGGAAAGTCATGTTCCCTTTCTATGATATTTATGAGCCCATTTAAGATAGCTTATAAATAGTTTTTCAATCATAATTTATGAAATATGAGATAAGCATGAGAAAAGAATTTTATCTCGACTTTTTGAGTATTTTTTTACCCTTATCCCAAACATGTTTTACATCTCGAAAGAAATTAATCCTTGACAAATTAGGGATAATTTAAACGGTCCAAGAGGAAAAAAGTCATACTACGTTGTGGGTTATGGAATAACTTTTAAGCATAAAATTTAAAATTCAAATAAATATTTATTTTTAACTTCCATGCCTCATCCGAAATATTCTCATACAAGTTCCCCATAAAAGCTATTGTCCTTTTTCTTTTTCTTGCTCCTTTTAATATAGAAAAGACAGGCATCGTCTTCCAAGAAGCAACATAAGTTGACCCTAGCGCCATCCCTGATTGTCTTCCCCTCCATCTTGTGATTATAAACTTCGTCGCAGGCTTCCCTTCATTTCCCGCATTACAACATGCAGCAATTTCAAGCGAACTGGGTTTCTTATCTTTCACACCAATAACAAAAATAAGTCACTTGACACAAACTGCTAACATCGCAGACTTCGAACACATGCATTGCCAAATTGGAGATGTTAAAAGGAAAAATCCTGCCCAGTTTCGGTATCGACATCGGTGGACCCCACATGGAATTCTCCTCTCTCTTCCTTTCTCTCGGTGTCTCCCTCCTCAAGAATCAAGATGTTCGGCTCAAGGAAAAAGTTCCCAAGAGGTTCTCACACAAACACCGCATACTTTTGAAAGTTAGGAGTTAGGACTGCATTTTTAGTCCCCAGAAGAAACACCAGCTCTCATCACTGACTAACGATAGCTTTTCTGATTCAACGTCCAAGACGAAGATTAGATTCCTATCAGAACTATCTTGTAATTAAAGTCGACTGCGTGCAAATTAGTCCACGCACCCACTTCAGTTCAATCCAAGAACAAAACATATACTTGTACCATCTTGAAGATGAATGCATATACCACATTGTGAGAAAGAGTACATAACTACCCTGGAGGGTCACAGGAACTTTCCCGTTATTTAGAGAACCATGGGATTAGATGTCATCGAGCACACCATTTATATAATAATTGCCAAAAGAACAGGTGACCTCGGAACAACAAATCCATATGTGCCACCCAACCAATTCCACAATAAAACACCATTGCCTAAAGTATCAAGATTATACACTGAGAATTAGCAGAAGAGACATTTGGCCTCACATTAGAATAAAGACCCCGACGCCTAAACAGTGTGTAACATCAATGAAAGTGAACTCGCACGCTAGAGTGATTTTAACTTCGAATGAATGTGAACCAAAATAATCATGTGGGAACCTTTGTGTACTTCACTAAAACATGAACTGTTTTCCAGAACAATCGAAGAAGGAACAATATGCAGCATGGAGAGATTAAGAGGCTTATAAGACACAAAACTGGATAGGAAAGGATCAGAATTTAGAACCAAAGTAAATGAGCATAACTGGGCGCAGTTATATTGAAGCCCAACGTAGATTAAGTTGGCACCCACGCTCAGCCACATATCAAGAGATAAGAAAAGGTTCTATATTGAGTATTGTTTTTAAGAAAAAGGAATACTACTGGGGTTAGAATCCAAATACTCGTGTGGAGGTAGAATAGTGTAGAGCATCAGTTGCATTTTTCATCATCAGAATAGCTCTGCTAAATTGACCTTATAAACTTGTACTATTTATATCCACCCATCGAAAGTAAAACTAATTGCCTAAGGTATCAATTCGAACAAACCAATTGCAAAGGGCGGAAAAAGAAATTAAGAGGTAATTGAGGGGAAAAAAACAAAAAAGTAAGAAAGAAAGGCAGCCTCTCTACATAACTGTCCCGTGGTCATCTATTGAAGAAATTTGGCAAGTCATCTTTTCAGTTCTTCGCACCCACTCCCGCCCTCTCTGCCTTCTGCGAAATTACATTCATTTCAAACATATTGTCCTCAAAGTACTCCCTGTAAGGATGGTTCTTAGGGATAAGCCTCCGGAACTTGTCAAATTGTTTTTCAGCTTCATCTTTCTTTCTTAGAAGAGTATATATGATACCCAGACATAAGTAAGGCCTGAAATCCTTCGGTTCTTCCTTAACAAGCTCCTGATAAGCCTTCAGCGCATCAGAAAATTCTCCCTCCATGACTTTAATCTGCGCAATCAAGAGCCTCAAATCCCTGACATCCGATTCCCGCTTTTGCTTTTTGCAAAATTCCACTGCCTCTTCAATCCTCTTCAATAAATCCTCCAATGGCTTATCCGATTCCGAAGTTGCCATTACTAGGCCATGATAGGCCTCAACACGATAGGGATCTTTCGTTAGAATTTCTTCGAACTTCTCTCTAGCCAATTCGCAGTCACCATTGTAAACATACATGTGAGCCTTCAGCAATGGCCACTCAAACTCTTCCGGTTCGAGCTCAATTAAACGATCTATAACCTGGATTGCTTCCTCAATTTTGCGCGCTCTGACTTTGACCTCGATGAGCGACCGCAAAGCCTCGGTATCATTGGGATTGTTGCTTAATCTCTCGCCAATGACTCTCTGATTTTCTTCATTCGAAGAATTTTCCGTCGACTCCGTACTCGATTCCACCGTGGGCATCTCAAGCGGGGCTGCAATGGCGGGCTTGTAGCGAAGACGCATGTAGAAAAACACAGCCGCCGCTAGGATGGTGCAGGTGGTTCGGATAACGGGTGAGAAAAGGGAGTTTAGGGTTTGAAGCAATTGTGGTAATGTGGTTCCGCGCCTAAGGAAAGCAGAGTCGGTGAACGACTCTGACGGCAAGGACGCCGCTCTAATGGACGGTGATCGGAAGGAGGAAGACGAGAATCGCGACGGCGAAAGACGGGGAGGTAAAGACCTGAAGGAGACGGAAGATATGGGTCTCGATAGTGAAGAAGGAAGATGACTGAGTGAGAAGGGAAGCGGGTGGCGACAGTGATGCAGTGTGGCCAGAGACTCCATGGCTCAGGCCTCACAGAAGCAGAATACGAATTGGAGACACAAGAAGAGCAGAGAATAGCTAAAACCCTGAATATTGCGGAGGAGAAGGGTGGCGGAGGCTAAAACCCCCGGCGATATTTCATAATTATCTTGAGGAATGAACGCTAATTTTCTTTTTCACAGTTTATTTGGAAAATAAGTAGCAGATTCATATCCTTTGATCCTAAACCATCTACTTTTGATGTGGATGTTAGCACAATCTACTCTTGTTCTTGAAATGAATAGAAAATATGGAGTAGCTGAACAAGTTGAATTATTTATAACTTTTTTTTTTAGCTGAAAGTTGTACTATTTATAACTTGTTGATGATAAAATTCAATAATTTATTATCATGAACTTTCTTATATAAATTAATGTGATTAATGCAATTGACATTCGGAGACATGATAAAGGCACGTCCAGATTAAATTAGAAAAACCCAGTCGATTTGACTAGAACAGAGGTGAACCAAAATACAATTGAGATTCACGGATGTACTCCAATTAAATTGCCGGGGGCAGGAGTGGAACTCGAAAGCAGAACATTGCTGGAGTTAAGTTGCGATGGACGACCACGCTTAATCAAAAGCCGTCAATTAATTAATATCGGAAGGATTGTCCCGTAATCAAAATAAAGATATTCTATTCTTTATAACCCATGGAATCATGCATACTAAATATATTGGTGTGTAGTGATGATGGAGATGATATGATGAGGGTGCTTTTTCTTTGGACAAGAAAGGTCAAACAGTCATCATGAATTTCAGTAAAAAGATTATTTTATTAAAAAAAAGAGAGAGAATAAATCCACGGAGGATATGACCGAGCCCAATCCAGGCAGAAAAAATTAAGGCGGGTGAACCACAGGATGAATTAAAGGGAGACAAAAGAATGGAGAAGGCAGAGGCATTCAAGAGCAGAGACCGTTGGCGATGGACGCAGGGTCTAAATGGCAGCAGTAACGGTCTCCACTTTATTATGGCGCATTGATGGCGGGGGCATTTATCAGAGAAGCGAACAGGATCATGTCTGAAGCCGCCACGCCCTGGGTGTGATACGGCAGCGTTTTCACCCGGCATTGAATTGTGATTCTGCCAGTGTTGCTCAAGCAAGAGACCAACCATTCCCGGCTCTGCTCCTTTAATATTCCAACGGAGCAACCACCTCAGGCTTCTGACGTTTTCATTCGATAGTCGTTGCGGAAGGCGGGCGCCCCAACAGTGCCGTCCTATATACGACCGCAAACACAACTTTCCTCCCAACAGCGCATGTCAATCTGAAATTAATACCGCATTATTCACAAAGACCAACGGAAACCCTCTACCACTACTCCTGTTGCTTTTTTATAAATTTTCATAGATTTTTTTTACTCTTATGTGTTTTAGAATTTCATTTTCATAGGAAAAATATTCTGATTATTATTCGTTACTAAATTTAACAGATAACCGTTTAGAACAAAAATACCACAAAATAAGACTTTCAGGACATAGAAAAGCCACAAAACTTTCAAGTATTAAATACTTCTGAAATATTTAAAAACACCTTATCCTTCTCAGCATTTCTATACAACTTTTTTCAAATCTGAAAAAGCAAATATCAATTCATATCCTTTAAATTTATTTTAGTAGATATTTTAAATGCGGAAAATCTACACAGTCAAGGGAGCCCCTACTTCGATTGAAAAAAGGGGCAAGTCCCTCAATTATTACCGCATCAGTCAAAATATTGCACCATGAAAAATTGTTTTATATAATTATTTTTCCTACCAAAAACACGAAAATGGGTTTCCGCTCTCCGCCTGAGCCAATGAATCCCTTTCTGATGTAGACCTAATATTTCTCGTCATCAGGTTATCCAATTAACGCAAGAGCAAAATCCTAAAAACTACCATTTTCCTCATTTCAATACCCAGCACAAAATCGATTTCTACGAATCATCTGCCTTTCTATCATAAGTCCTATGGTAAAGATAGTTCGCGAGGTCTGCCCGTTAAAAAGCTTCCTTTGGAACTAGAAACCATAAGCATGCTCTGAGTTCAGCAGAGGTATAAGCACTTGTCCTGACAAGTACAATAATGCTTCGGGTTTTAAAAATTAATTTTCTGAAGCCAGCAGAGCATCGATTTTGCTTGCTAAAACGACCGAGAGGAGGAAAAAAAGGGAAGGGGAGGAGGGTAACATTAAACAAAAATAGGAAAAGAAACGATGCAGAGAGCAAAACACAATTCACTATACAGTGGGGTCATGAAATAAAGATACCATTAGCTAGTAGTGTTGCACAAGAGAGTCATCTCCAAACTCGTGTTTTCTCCTCCAGGTCTTACAGAGGATAACGACGTTTAGGATCTCTGGTGAAGAAGGGATGTCTTAATGCCTCCCTTGCTTTAAACCGTTCAGCAGGATCATATCGAAGGAGTCCTTGCAGAAGATCAATCAAATCACCAGCAGAATGATCGACATGCTGCATTATGAGGTTCTGCAGTGTCATAAAAGGAAAACTCACTGTCAAAGGAATGTGTCAATAACCTTTGCAGCATTGACAGAAAGCTGAAATAAGCACGGGAATGTATTAAGAGACGCACTTTAATTTATGCCCTGATCCTAACATAAGCCATCTCTCGCACACTCCTTAAGATAAAGAAACAGGCCATAAGTCAGTAGTTGGATGAGAGATTGTTTGGTTATTGAGCTGTATTTTATTATCTGAGCAGTTAACACTAGCCTTTTGATGGTCAAGAGAGGAGAGAAAGACAAGCAAACTTCCTAGGACTCCCAGCATTGCTTGACACTATGTGTACTACCAGATTACAATGGATAAAAATAAAACAACACCAAATAACAATATCTAACAACGTGATATGCCTAGCGGGGAAAATTGAATATGCTATTGAATCTAATATAGTTGTTTACCAAGAATGATCCATAACGTCAACAAAAAGACATGGCCTGCCCTTGCAGTCAATTAAAAAAATGACAACATTGATTCCCAACACCCATTTCTTAATGCAAAAGGAAAACATACTTCGCATGGATCAGTTTCAAAAGTTTCAAAGAAAGTACCGGCAAGCGAGGCAATTTCCAAACAGCCCTCATGCTTTCTCTTGAAGTTGAACCATCAGGCCAACACAAACGTGCATTCCTTCTAAAATATTTGTCAGCTCGACGGCTACAAAAGTAGGCAAGATATGAAGCGAAGCCAAAAAGGAAAAAGGGAAGACAATTACTAAAGCAAATAGAATTCAGAAACACTTACTCAGCCCTAACCACCATATGTGGAGGTAGTGGCCCCAAAACTCTCTCCATCATTGCAAGATGCTCCAAGTTTTCATGAGTTTGAAAAAGGGCTTCACCCTGTTTATATACAAGAACACTATAATGTTAAACACGGCCTCCCAGAGGTAATCTTAACAAGGTCATTTAAGCCAATAGGAAATAAGCTAAAGTAATCATGATGACGTCATCAAAATCAGAAATAAACTTCACCTGTGAAAAATGGCCAGGTTGATGAGAGCTTATTCATATAAAAAATTAAAAATAACTGAATGGGTAAAGATTTGTTTTCAACACTTTCTGGTTCAGTTTAATCAGAGTCATTCAGCGTTCCATCAAGAGAAGTTAGTAAACAAACATGAGTCATGGGTCGATACTAAAAATTACTTACAGAGCAGAGTTCAACCAGTATACAACCAACACTCCAGAGATCGCAGGGATAATTCCACCCAAGACCTGCAAAAAACATCACATAATACATGGTACAGAACCAACAGAGCTAATACGCATGTGTTTCCCAGGCAACAATGGTTACCTAAGATAACCTCTGGTGCTCGATAGTGTCTGGTTGACACCACATAACTGTGATCCTGATGTTCAAATGTTGTACTCCCAAAATCAATGAGTTTTATGCAACTTGACTTGGGCAAGTTCTTGAAATAGGAGCCATCTTTTGTAGTTCGAGCTACAAACTTAATTGACAGAGATGAATCACGCCAACAGAACAAGAAATGCGTCAAAATTTTGGTCTTCGAGAATGATGACAAATGAGAACAGTAATATTTCCAAGGTAGCATCATGAGTGGTGGTGAAACATACCTTGTAGTCTGGAACTTTAATATAGTCTGATGAGACAAGAAGAATATTCTCTGGCTTCAAATCAGTGTGAATCAATCGTAAATCATGCATAACTGCATATATAAGCAACGGAATAAGTTATTTGGAATCAGAATAGACAGTTGTAATAACTATTACTGTCAATTAAATAAAATTTTACTTGATTCACATATCAGAAAATTATCATCCATATTGAGATAAGTGATTATACAAGCCCATGTGTTTAAACCCCCAAAGGAAAAGGGGAATCCATTAGATGATAAATAGATAATTAGGTACAAGTTATGTCCACACACATGCTACAGACTCCAAAAGTTGTCTGCCAAACTCCCGAACAAGATCAATGGGAAAAGAACGATAGCTGTTTTTGCGGAGAAAATCGTATAAGCTTGGCCCAAGCTTCTCAAATACCTGTTGAAACCATTTAAATCCATCCGCAAGTTTTTTAACTCACAGAATATTTAAGCATGAAGGAATAGGCATTCCCATCATATTAATCAAATTATGAACATCAATAAATACTTACAATACAAATATGATTACGATAGTCAAACCAATTCCGTATTTGCACACAACTGCAAAGAATGAAACAACTTATACCAAAATCGCTTTTAACATCTACAAACAATAAGGGAATGAATCAAGAAAAACATTCTTACCGTGCATTGCCAATGTCATGCCTGGCAAGCCTCTGCAGAACATCAATTTCAATCATTGCAGCCTCACGATACTTGTGTATGGAACGAATAACTTTGATTGCCACAACTTCTTCCTTTTCATTGTCAAGGCATTCCAAGACTTGGCCGAATGTCCCTGCATAAATTTTAGGAAAGGTGCACATTGGAGCAAATTCATCCGTGCTAGTCAAACACACCATCAAAATGTTTTCAATGATACCTTGAAAGTCATTTAATATAAGGATTTGGGGGGCAGGATTAAAAAAAAAAAAATCAGAGAAGTTGTAAAAATTACCTTCACCCATTTTACTGAGAATTCTGTCTGCAAACATAAGAAAGTAAACAATTTTACTGAACAAGCATAGCATAGTCATAAAACGGAAAAAAAATTCTCCAAAACTAAATTCAATCCAAATCAGTTACTTTCTCCTCCTCCTTTCCCCCTTTTGTTCTAGGGAGGGGGTGGAGGCCTTTGAGGATGATCTGGTACAAAGGGGAAAAATCGTTTTTTCTTTTTTAATAATCTGGTTGATTGGATCATATGAACTACAAAGCCTTCAATGCCACTCTAAAATATCTAGAAATTATAAGTCAAGCAAATGTTCAGGCTTTTCATTTCGGTTAAAGACGTCAGACCGCGTGAGATAAGGACCACGCAAAATGATCAACTGTGCTCAACAAAAACCGCATCCAATAGACTTAGCATTCTGCATGACAATAAAACACTTACATCGTGACGTTAGATTTTCACCAACGGCAAAAACGTAGTGCCCATCTTTATCGTCAGGTCTCCAAGGGGGTGATCCATTGCGAGGCACTCCCCTGTAGATGACGGAAGAATATACATGATTCGGAACTACTCCATTCGCAAGTTCCTGGCTGCAATATAAAGGCGGAAGAGGCTGCAAGCATCCGTAACTCAATTATTCAAGATTGATAGAAAATTCTCCGTTAATATTAGTTTTAAGCACAATAGCATATGCGTATGGTGTAAATTTAAACACAACAATTCCACAAGGAAAAAGGTCTTAGTTTTCAATCCATCGATTTCGAACATTCCTATACAACACGTTCCAATCTTTCCCACCACGGGCGCATAAAATTTTGCGGGGGAAGGTACGGCCAAGTGATCAGCTAGAACACATGAGGAAATTATGCAAATTGCATAGAAAATTATACAAAGTAAACGCAGCCAACAATTAAAGAAATCAATGACCGTTCGGGAAGGGCAGGTAAAATGAGAAAAATATAAATCACCAGGAAGAAAACACAAAAGCGCGCAGGGATGGAAGGAATTAAACCTTGGAAGCTGGAGGAATAGCAGGGGGCATATCCCATGTTAAACGAGGTCTCTTCCGGGGGCGCTTGTCCATGTTTTGATGCGGAAATTCGATAATTCGCTGCGTCTCCATTTATCGGTGTCTGTGTCTGTTGTGGAGAAACATGGAACAATTATCAATGAATTCAACGGTCGGGAGATCGATATCGAAGGAATTGACGAAAGATATCAATAGCGAATTAAGGAGAAATCTTCCAAATAGAAACCCTAATGATGAAGTAGATCTGAAGCTAAAGCAATTACTGGAATCGATGAGGGAGAGAAGGTGGAGGAACTTAACCGTGGTTAGGAGTATGAAGGTTTACTAACCGTGGTTAGGAAGTGGGCCCAATAATAGATATCTTCTGTTCGCGCGGACGCCTACAAGACATGCCGTGTGGGGACCACGGATGGATATGGTGCCGTAAGTTTTTCTGAGTCAGGCCCACTTCAAATGGGCCAATCAAGTTCAAGCCCACTTTTCTACCCCCACTTCAATTCCGGCCCGCCGTAGAATAAATAATGAATATCGTTGAAACCGCTCCAGCTTGTCCGATTGGTAATAAAACGGAATGAAGAGAAAAAAATGATTTTTAATATAAAAAAATTATTCATTTATGACTCTAAATATAAAGCGGAAAAATACATAATTATTTGGATTAAGGTACATCCAGCACCTCAAAGTATTTTTTTGGGTACATTCAACACTTTAAAAATTTTGTGATGCATCCAACACTCTGAAATATTTTTTTAGGTGCGTCTAATATCATAAAATATCGTTTGATGTGTCTAGTATCTCAAAGTTTTTTTATGTGCGTCCAGCAAGACCAGCACCCAAAAATATGTTTTGGTGCACCAAGGCAAAAAAAATATTTTAGGATATTAGGCGCCCTTAAAAAATACTTTAAGATACTAGATGCATCACAAAATATTTGAGGGTACTGGATATATTTGAAAAAAAGTTTTAGTGTGCAGGAAAGCACCTAAACCCAATTAGTTTAAGCAATGATAATAAGAGTAATTATATTCATCAAAGTTCGTGCAGTGACGTCTACTCGTAAATCTGTTTTCATCGAGATAATTAAATCAGAGCCTATATAGCATATAATGCACATGCTCAGCTTCTGTGAGTGTCGGTTTTTTTTTTTTTTGCTGGTGAAAAAAAAAGTGTCATTTTTTTTCCCGTTTTGCTATTTTAAGCGGACTACGTGGATCCAGAGGGTCGTGGTGGGAGTGCTTGAACTTGGACTATGTCAGCATTGAGTTACGCGGGTGTATATATGTGATTCTGGGGAGCTAGACAGGTCATTGTTCAAACGCATAGACTAAACAAGTAGGAGAATAATTCTACGCTCAAGTTGGCCAGCTAACGAACCTGAACTTGCTAATGATGATTATTCACACTCAATCCTCAGATGGGCACTTCCTGAATCCTGTAAGCGATGGGCTGATGGATCTGATGAGGGTTGGTTTAGAAAATCGTGTGAGCATATATCTAATTAATTGGGTCTGCCTTTTCTGGGAAGAAGGTCAAAAGTCATATGTAATTAATTAGCGCGCGTGGTTTGAAAATCAAGCATTTTGTTCACATTGTCAGGTTCGACATCTTCGTTCATTCCTTTCACTTTTTGAAGCTGGTGTGAACCGTGAAGTTTCATCAGCAGATAATTCACCCAACTCCTTTAATTACCAACCAACACGTGCTTTTTTGCCAACATATCTGTACGAGAATCCCATGTTTCAGAGAACAAGCAGATAGATTCAGTGCAGACAATTTTTAAATACTACCTCCTGTCCTAATTATAAGAACTAGTTGACTAATTTGAAGAGATTAAAGAAAGAAGTTAAATTAGTTATTTGAATAAATATGTGTTTTTTTTTTTAAAATATCCTTACCAATCAAGTATATGAGATAGAATTATCATTGTTAAAAAGACTATTTTGAAAAAAAAATATATCAATATCAGAGACAAAATTTATTGAAATCTTATATTTAAGATCAAAATAAAAACAAAACAAGATTTTATATTAAAGACAAGAAGTATTATTACGTGATGCGCTACAACAACAATGCTACAATACGACACAAACAGATAGGTTCGGTGCATCCAAGAATTTTTCACGGAACAAGAAAGACTTTCACGCCTTACGGCTTACGCGACTCTACGTTTTGGATAAGTACCAACCGAAGATAGATAACCGTAATTTCTGCAGCATCCCCGTCACTAGTTATGTAAGCTTTCCTGAGCATTTGTCTCTTTCCAACTGGTCAAAAAGGTCGTCTAACTACTTTCGCAATCCACCCAAAAGAAATCATAATAAAAGGATCCGTTTCCTTAGATTTGAACAGAAAAGAGGAAGCTCCAGCATTAGTCAAACTTCAAGCTGCAACTAAAATGTTGTGATTTAAACTTCTTGTTTTTCAGTTCTTAATGATGTTTAATTGCCAGGATGGTTCCTGAAAACCAGTAAACTCTAACTTATGCCTTTCAGAGTTGAATTCTGTAATTAGTTTCTTATTCCTATCCGGCCGCTCCAAGTTACACGTTTTTTGGACTTTGACTTTTGACTCTCAGGTTTTACTGACATTCTCTTCGGAAGCTACAACTCGCCCCAACCCAACGTACGTGTCGGCGCCTAGGAAAAATGTTAATCAATGCTAATATATTCGTGTAATTTTAATGAGACAATCGTCTGTGCAAACAAATCACATGTCCTTAAAAAAACAAGAAGAAGAAGTAAACATAAACAAAGCTCTTTGATTTACCAACAAAGCAATAAATTTTTATATGGATTCTGAATGTGGCCTTTTCATAAAAAATAATATTGAACATTGCGAATAAACTCCTCCAAAATTTATCAAAAGGATTGACTTCTGCAGATCTAATTATCTATAAGGAAAAAAGACACAAAAATTAAAGTATAATTTTTTGCGGCCGAATTTTGTTGAAATCCGTCCGTGGCAGATGGTCTGGGTAAATGTCAACGTAACGCAATGCACCTAGAATAAACTCCAAATACTAGTTACATGTTTGTGCCTGTATCCTACGTAACTCTGTTGAAAATTTCATGTAATTAATAAGCACTTTTATATTAATGTCATAAACCAAGTTTCCATGAAAACCATTATTTGAAGGTTCAAAAAGAAGACTCATAGCCTCTTACAGTTGTAAAGTTGGAGATCTTCGTAGAAAATTGAGTATGAGAGTTATTGTTCCATTGCACGTAATCACATGTAGTAGCAGTTCACCACCCACACGCCAAGATGATGGCTATAACATGCAAGTAGCTAAGTATTTAGCGTAAGCAGAACGCGGGCATAAACCTTGTATATACGGCAACGAGTCAAAGAGCCACTGGAACTTGGCCTTCCAAGATTCCATGTATTTGAAAAACTCAATTCAAACCAACAATCCACTGGTCAAATAACACCCTCCACACTATCTCCTATAAATACCAGCTCGCACTAACCATCCCAGATCATCACCAACCATTCCATTCACATCCCACATGGATCATAACGTAGCAGTAAAGGAGCAAAGCAGGTTTGAAGACATAGCCAGGTGTCTAATGATGCTGTCTCATGTCCAAGGCAATAACATTATGAGATCAAAGCGGGAAGACAGCTTCGCAGGCTGTCCTGTGGAATACGAGTGCAAGACATGCAAACGCAAGTTCTCGTCGTTTCAGGCTCTTGGTGGCCACAGGGCTAGCCACAAGAGACCAAGGCTGGAGGGGGATCATGAACTGAGAGCGCAGGCTAAGTCTCTGAGGTTAGCAACTTCAGGACCAAAAACGCACGAGTGCTCCATTTGCGGTCTGGAGTTCTCGCTGGGCCAAGCACTGGGTGGCCACATGAGAAGACACAGAGCCACCCACAACGACGACGTCGTCGACCATCGCTTTTCTTCCAAAGTGCCGGTTTTGAAGAGATCCAATAGCAAGAGGGTTGAATTCTTGGACCTTAACTTGACCCCACTCGAGAATGACTTGAAGCTCTTGTTTGGCAGCAAGGCACCTAAGATTGATGCCCTCGTCTAATTCCATTTGTTGTGTACCTATGCTTTTTTTTTTTCAAAAAAAATTGTGTATTCCTTTAATTCTTTCGTGTATCATTTGAAATAAGCTACTATTTTTTTTCTTTTAATGTAACTCTTTGGATCGTAGATTAAGCCTCTCAATTCAATTTCTTATACTTTTCTTGTTTTTATCTTTTTCTGACCAACTGAAAAATCCATTCTTCTATTCAGCAAAACAGGCTCTCACAAAACCCCTGGTTACTCAGTTATAATACACTGTTTTTGCACCAAGGCTAGATTTCAGAGCATCAGTGGGTTGTGAATACTTTTTAGAAGGGCCGCTTTGATTGACATTTTATGTTTCAGGGAATCGAATTAAAAGACTAAATATTTGAGTAACTGTTTTAAAAGAATAATAATCTCTCTTGCGTAAGAATTAAAAACTCCTTTTGTTTACTCTGGTCTTCTTGTTGTTCTTTGAATCTCTTTCGTGTTGTTTTATTTATGTTGTGACGTTCCTTATATTCTGATGGGAAGAGAGAGCAGATATTTTGAAGAAGATATAAATGCGCGGTTTTACGTTGAGCGGCGAGGGTCCCCTTTATTCCTTTTCGTGTTATGAAAACAAGGGAAGAAGAGTAGTCGTCATAGTTTCGTCATAGTTTTCCATCTTTCATCCAAAAACAGACACAAACATGGACTTTCCAAAAAAGGCCAATGACGAGCTGCAATGGTATTCGTAGGATATACTTTTTATCATCATATTTATAAATTATTTTCAACGATTAAAAAATATTTTAAATTTCATTAACTCTCATTTAAAAATCAATAACTTTTTAATTTTATTTTTGTGTCATACATATTATACCTCATATAAACAAAATCAACATAATAATAACTAAATAGTAAAATTACGCATCTATATAAAAATTTCTTTTAATATCCCATAAATAGGAGGAAAAAATATGTTATTTTTCTGCTTATAAATATAAATAGGACTGAAGGAGTATATCATAGAAGGCACTGAGAGAGGCGCGGTCAAATCAGCTTATCCGTTTCGACGCGGTACACGTGAACCCCACTTTATCTTCCTATTGGGGTGGGCTTTTCTCGGGCCATGGCAACTAATTGGGCCGACATGAGCCGTGAAGCTAGAAATCTCACGTAAGCTCTAGTGTTACCAAAAGTTGAATAAGACCCCTCTGGCGCTCGCATTTCCGGCCAGGTTCACTTGATAAGATAGTTCGTGCTAAGATAGCACCTTGCAAAAACCTATTACGCGATGTGATGCAGTGAGCCAATAAAAAAAAATTATAGACAATACTTATATCAGGTTGCTAATATTTTCTCCGAATTACACATAATCATGTGTCATACTTTTAAAACATTAACGTTTAATTATAAATTGACATGAAACAAAAAAAAAACACATGACCATGTATACATGTCTGAAGAACTTAACATAATAAATATAAGTAATTTGACTTGAGTTTTTTTTCCAAAAAGATAATAATGGCAATCAGTGATAATTAAGGGTTGAAAAACATGTCATTGGCGGCCTCTTTATAATTATTGGTACGACTGAAAAAGAGATGAATTTTCATCGTTCAAATGAACTCACCAAAATACTTGCTCTTTTAATTAGTCAACGCATGATATCATCGGGAGGAGCTAAGCTAACTTCGTTTTTTTGTTAAATTTGCTAGCGGTATAAGACTTTAAGCGAGACCAAATACACGCGCAAACAAATGGAACGACGTCAGGCATGTGAATCTCAGACTCTAAAATACTACCTCTAATTTTTAATAAAAAAACTAGTTGACTAATTTAAATAGATTGAAAAAATTAGTTAAGTTCGCTATTTGTAATAAATATGTATTGTCTTTTCTAAAACATCCTTACTAATTATATGTACTGGCTAAACCCGTTATTATTACAAGAATTATTTTGAGAAAAAAATAGATAAATATGAGAAATAAAATAAATTAGAGTGTAACATTTAGGACCAAACTAAAAGTCAGATAAACTTTTATATTAAAAACTGGAGGGAGTAAGAAACTTCTCACTCAAATTTCACAAGCAGATAATTTAATTAGACACGGGAACACTGCACTTCTAGCATTAGTTAATTTTAATGTGGCCTTGTCTCTTGCAATATTGTGTGATTGTTTCAATTAATGCACGATAAGAGATAACACTCGCATCATAATTCGCAGCGCATACTGGACATGAATCACGTTGCTGTGAGCCAATTCTGACGAGGAAACCTGGGAGACACAACAACGTCGTCATTGCTGGCGATCGAATCAAAACTTGAGAACGAAGTAGGTTTTTAAAACTTTATTTATCGGCGATTGAGTTTCGAGTTGGATACCACAACCTTCATTGGTTTAAATGCCTGCACAAGCGAATAATCAGGTTTGGGTTATTATCACTTGACGGGGTTGTCCCTGTGGAGTTTAATTCCATGTCCTATATATTTGTATAGCTGTGATGGTGCCAAAAAAGGCATGTGTCTGAGAAAATGTAAGCGCGCCAAGTTGCATGCAACTTTAAATTGATTATCTTAAAAGTAATTTTCTGCCTGCTCATTGAACAAATTTGCGCTGTTCACATATGACAGAAATATGCCCAATAATCACAGGAAAGTGAAAATCCAACCGCTAATTCGGAGGAAAATGAGTAAAAGGGTTACATATAATATACTCTTTCGGTCCTAATTATAAGACCCAATTGACTTATTTGAGGAGATTAAGGAAGTAAGTTAAGTTGGTTATTTATAATAAATAAGTGTTGTCATTCCTAAAATATCCTTGCTAATTAAGTATATTGGCTAAAACTATCATTATTAGAAGGATTATCTTGGAAAAAAATGCATAAATATAAGAGACAAAATGGATTGGGGTTTATAATTAGGATAATTAGGATCAAATAAAAATCAAATGGGTCTTATAATAAGGACCGGAAGAGTATATATGCTACTTCCGGTCCTAATTACAAATGAGACCTTATAATTAGAGTCGGAAGTAGTATTCTATACGTAGTGATATATTTCAATGTGTAGTACCTTAGCTGTTTGCGGACATGAGTTAGGCCTCCAAAAATCAGCAGAACCAGGACTAGTGCTAGAATTACTTTTAAAAAAAAAATAACAATTCAAAATAAGGTGAGAAGATGGGTGCTGACTGTAATGGCTTCAACTTGCACAAGTTGGCCATCTTCAACTACTAAGCTCACCCACAAAGAATCTATAAAATCCTATTTTCTGTCACTCTGTGCGTGCTTGTTGCTTTCTTCATTTTATAATTTAATGCCCCTGATTGATTTGTGAAATATTTTATTTTTAATCTAAGATACTTCCTCTGGTTTTTATTATAAGATCTCATATGATTTTTATTTTGATCATAAATATAAGATCCTAATCTATTCTGTCTCTAATATTTATACATTATTTTCCAAAGATAGTCATTCTAATAATGATAATTCTAGCCGATACACTTGATTAGCAAAGATATTTAAGAAAAACAACACCTATTTATTACAAATAACTAATTTAACTTATTTCTTTAATCTCCTCAAATTAGTCAACTAGCTCTTATAATTAGGAATAGAGGTAGTATAAAAGAGATTGATCAAATGCATTTGCCTGCTTAACATGAGGAGGATATATAATGATAAAGAGTGAAGACTGGGTTTAATTATAATCAACTTGCCTGTGGTGCCGTGAGCTCGTGGCAACAGTAATTGATGTGTAATAATCTTATTAATTTGCTAATTATTCTGATTTTAATATCACGTTTCCTATGGATGCCTCGTACGTTAGATCAAAACAATGTCAAATTTCAATGTTTACATGCAAATTTAACAATCAGGGCTACCACGGGTTAAAAAAGGGAATGATGATCAGCCTCACACTAAGGAATATAATTAATGGGTGTGCAGAATAAGTAATTCGAATAAAGTCATCCTCGCTGAATCGAGCAAGTGAAAAAACTAGATTGGTTGAAACTAAATTAGCCGATCGATTGCCACATGCACAGAGAAGAAAATGTGGGATGAACAAATATTTGAGGCCACGAATTCAGCGTGGAGAACGGAGTGGATTCTGATATCACACTCACGTTTAGTTTTAAGGATATGAGAGGTAGGTTTCCCTGCTGATCCCCGGAGAATCGAAAAACAGAAACAGTCAACCTAGTAGTGATCCGTAAGATTCAAGTACAGTTGTTGCTGTCGTTGGTGCGCTTCACCTCTCTTCCACCTACTTGCATCATTAACTTAGGTAAATACAACAATGCTGCTTCATCGGAGGACTTTCGTTTTTCGCTTGGTCTAATGTTTAATGAACAGCTTAATAAGCTAGGTCGCTCGCTCATGACAATAACTTTTGAGGTCAAGTTAAAGTCACATATGATGTGTAGAGTCTTCGCGAACATGACACTCTGCTTATTCGGATTGGTTCATCTCGTTATATATAGATACACAGAAGCTATTTATATATATATATATATATATATATATATTCTTCACATTCACTTGTTCGACTCGCAGGGGGACACTCAGTGATGGATTTAATGATGGATTTAATTAATAGTATCACTCAATCATACGACGTTTGACCTTCTTTTGAAGCAAGCGCAATGATTTATCAGATCTTGATCGACAGCCAAGCCCCTGCGAGCTGCCAGCTGGTGTGATTCACCGATACCGGTACCTAGTTTTGTGGCCAACACGTCACTTACAACCCACATGAACATGATGTATTTTGCTTTTTAAACATTCCTAGTACAGGACTGAAAATAAGGTTGTATAAATAGTGTCGCACGGAGACCAAAACAGTGAAATAACATAAGACAATACAGATTATCAAGTTGTGTGATTGCCCCACACACACACACACAACTTGGTGCGTCCGTGGGGGAAATTATGAGATATTTAGCAAGAATAGCGATTGGGCAACATGAGTAGGGAAATGAAGACCCAGATTGGAAGGCAAGGGGCAAAGACGACCGGTCTTGTGTTTGGAGGCAATCATCAGGGAAACTCCTTTTTTTTTTTTTGGATAATAGAATGTGATAATGTGAAGAAGATGAGGCGGTGCGTTTTAGTGTCACGTCACAATTATGGCTGGCATACAGTGCAGTACTGCATAGGTCTCTCCTCTGTGAGGCCCTAATTTGGGATTCTGCAGGATGCGTCTCTGTCCAGCATTTAAGTCACTCCCACACAAATTCGTCGTCTTGATTTGATTGGACAAAGGCCCCTTCCACCACCTCACAACTATCTACTATAATCTTCAAATGTCCCCATTAAGACATTAAAGCCTGGGATGGCACCCGCAGCATTCTACAATTATTAACTGCAAATCTTACTTTCGTTTCACCCTTACAAAAAGCGTCCTGCATGGTTTTCCGTATTGATTACTGGGAAAAAGTAAAGAAATCCATAATCTTATTTTGACGAAGTCAGCTAAACTAACTAAACGTATGAAGTTCTGATGCAAGGTTAACAAATCAAGCTGTAGCAGAGATGTCAGGTACTGATGAACAGTTCATTATAAATGTAGCTAGGGCGCATGAGCGCTTTTCCCTTGAGCTTCGTATATGCGTAACTTCTTTTTGGATTAGATTGGGTCTAATGGTTAGAGTACTGTTCGTGACCATTAGTGATTAATTATTTGATGGTGCATTATTTCAGCGTCCCCATACGCACATCGTAAAAAGGCTCTACTTTTTCCTCTAATGCATCACCTTTTCACCTTTTCTTCTACGTTTTCTCATGGATCCGTTTAGAATAGTTTATAAACAGTTTTTTAAATAACAATTTACAAAATACAATATAAATATGTGAGAGGAGTTTTGTCTTGATTCAGGTAAAATATGTTTATAAATGATTTTTTAAATCCCCAAACAGGCCTATGATTTCATTTAAATTTGTGTGGGGTGCGGGTCTTCACTTCTCCTCTCATGAGTCGACGAACTTGAGTTCACGAGTCGAAAGTTAAGTGAAATGCCCCAAAGAGTATGCGGAATAAAATATTTGGTCTCATGCGTGAAAAAAAACAAGTAATGTTTTTGATTCAGAGGTTCAAGAGAATGAGGATAATAACACAATTAATAAGCTGACTTCGTATATTTTGTTTATAATTTGAGAAATGAATTATATAGTTAAGACGAAGGGGTATATTAAAAGGGATATTTAAAAACATATGATAGAAAAGAAAGTGCAGATACAATTAGAAGTACCGGAACTTGCTGTTCTAAAGTAATCCGGGGACAGAAAAAAGTTTAATTGAATATAAAAACAACGATTGATTTTTTGTTAAATAAAGTCTGGTTTATTTAAATTCTTCAAATTAGGGTCTTGTCGTGTAAAATATGACCATCTTTACCAGTAAACTCTCCCCTAGGTCGGACGAAAGGAACCGCCAGTAACTTTGAATTCATTTTGTTGAACCTCCACCATATGTACCAAACGTTTCTTACCATCCATCCCCCCTTACTTTTTCTGCATGTTCTTTCCCCATACCAACTACTCCCAAGCAAATCCTAGTCTTGTTCCGAAGCAGCCGCTATGATATGGTTATTCTGACATTGGTTTCATTAAATCTTGTGTAACTTCGTTTAGGACAAAAGCAGCAGCCAGGTCAACGGAACAGTTCATACTACTATTTCAACTAAAACATGGAGAACGGAAAACCAGCGACACATATCGATCCCTTTATACTTTTGTTTTTTTTTTTAAAGTCGAAATACTTCAAATTATGAAATTACTGACCAGTTACATACAAGACCTCAGGTCGGCAACTCTTCACACGTCTCAAAGTAATAAAATCTGTGCGGCCTCTCCTCACCATATGATTATCTCACAAAACGAGTCAATATTCTTAAATACACAGCAAAGAAGAGCCACTCTTCCCGATGGGCAAATGAGACTTCCTTTTTTCCGGAAAAAAAAAAGTCAATAAACTTGATTTGATTTTGATGTCAATTTTCTGGCATCTTCTCCCACCCCTCTATTTCCTACAATCTCCTCCTATCTCCAAAGCATATGACAGCTCTTTTTGCTTTTCCGAGGAACATCCCCCAAAACTTCTTCTCTTGCCCTCACACATCACTGCTCCGCCAACCAGGGAACTTAGAACAAGCTATTTCTCTGTGCTTTTTTATCCAGAAGGGAAAAAGGGAAGCAGCAAGAAAGCTGGAATCTCCTACTCTTGCCCCGCAAGACCTTACACCCACTGCCTTGTAAGTGCTCTGCCTTCTATACCTCTGTTTTCAGAATGATTATCATTGGTCCTTATTCTCTTCTTCCTCCTCTGAACTGTCCCACATCAATCTCCGAGCAGCAATGTTGAAGACCCACAGTTCAATAAGTTTCTATTTGTGTTTGTGCGGCATCATTGTCCTGCTCGTGTATCGGCTCTGCCTTCTCTACGTTCATTCCTGTTATCAAAACCTTAGGATTTGGTGGTTCTTGCTTCATTTTCATGAATCGGATTCCAATATATTTGCCCTTATTTGTTCTTGTAAATCGCAGTGGATCTCCATTTGGGATTTAATACATCAGTTTTTCTGCAGCATCCTGCATATGTCGTGCTTTCAAAAAAGGAGTCCTTTTGAGTTATTGACTGAGATCTCATGCTTGGCTTTAAGATAATTTTCTATGAGTCAATAAAAATAAAGAAGCCCACAACCTTTTGGATTCTTTATTTACCAGTTACCCTCTCCACTCTGTCCTCCTCTCTGTAAAGCACCAACGCAGGGATCAAAAGTTTGCATTATAGTATCCCTCAGAGAAATGGATCAGCCTGGTCTTTCTTAACCTTTTCCTCTTTTGTATATTATATACCCACTATTTGATTTCTTTTATGGTTTCTTAGTTCTGACTTCGTCCCCGGCTCGGAAGCTGCCTCTGTTTCCCCTGCAACTGGGTCTTTTAATATTGCCGTTGAAAACTGCCTCAGCACTAATTTATGTTTTTATTCTTCAAAAATATCTATATGCATATTATTCTAATCTTTCTCAGAGACTTTTTCTGGTTAATTTAAAGTTTTATGCAATATTATAATAGAAAAAGTTTTCCCTCGTGGATTCGGATAATCCTCATCTTCCTATAAAACCTGCAGCTCCGTAGGCATTATTCTGAGGGGTTAATGTTGGATTTGGTTTTGTTTTCAGCGATCGGAAACTGGAGCAATGAGAACAGAGTCGACGAAGATATCCAAGGCATGCTCACAGTACACTCTCTGATTCTGGATTTCCGTGTCAAGTTTTGATCTTCGAATTGTGTTTGATTTTCTATCTGTGACCGTAGGCTTCGTGGCCGAAATTATCCATGAGGAAGTGGCTTCATATAAAGAGCTTTGCTGATAAATCTCACTCAGACCTTAATGAACTGGGTAAAGTAAAATGATAGGGTCCCTTTCTCCCTTGATTTTGATTTGTTTTGTAGAATAACGGGTCGTGTGTTGGGAAACTAATAACGAGTTATTTGTTCGTGGTGATTTCAGGCCCTCGGAGAGAGCGAAGGAAAAGCTCTTCAGATCTAAAAGACTGTTACGTCGTCGTACCGGAAGATTTCTCAGGTAATATTCCAATTCTTCCAACTAATTTTTGCGTCGGATGGATGGATCCGACGCCTCATTCATATGATTAGACCTTAAAAAAAAAAAAAGCATTAGTGGTGAAACGACTTCAAGGGACGAGAACCCCTCGTGGTGGGGCCCATCTCAGTTCAATCCCAATGGACCTGCCACGTGGAGGTTCATTTGTTCTGGAAATGCAGATATTGATTATGGGACTTTATTTATTTTTCAAAGAGGCGTGGTTGTTGGAAGCTGAGGATGAAGGGAAACAATATACCGTACTGGAGAAGGAAGCGCCATCTGTGAGGGAGAAACTGAACCTTAGGTGAGTAATTTCATCACCGTCCTGTGGGAAATAACAATGATAGTGTTTGGTTTATGCTTTAGCAAAATCCGCTGTTTTTTAACGGTATAAATGTAACGATGAAACCTTGTCGTAGGATGTTCGTGGGGACGTGGAATGTAGGAGGCAAGTCACCTTATGAAGGCTTGAATTTGAGGGATTGGCTTTCCCTGGATTCTCCTTCCCCAGCTGATATCTATGTTATCGGGTAAGATCTCTCTCTCTCTCTCTCTCTCTCTCATCTCTTTCCTAATCTGATCACTTTTCACTTTCTATTATCTGCAATTCATGATTAACTACCCTCCCATTTTTCACCTAGGACGAGTCATAACTCGGAACTGTGGTTTTTACTTTTATTTTTTACTTCTCTTCTTACCCCACATCTCATTCCACAGTCCAAACAACCACTTCCCCCTGCCTCTATGGCTAGCTCCAATGGACAGTTACGTTTTACCCCTGCTCTGCTCTCGCTTTCTTACATTTATTTATATGATTTCCTTTCTTACGAAGATTCTATTTAATTTCGTTTAGAGAGCGAACGTACAAGTATGTAACGATTTCGCTACATGGATTGGATTGCACATGTTAGGTTCCAAGAAATCGTGCCTCTCAATGCAGGGAACGTTCTGGGGCCAGAGGACTGTGGGCCGGCATCCAAGTGGCTGACTCTTATTGGGGAAGCATTGAACTCCAACGACTTTGACTCCGATTTGAAGCCGAGCTCCAGCTTCTGTCGATTACTTTCTTTAGAGCAGCCTCTTTATGGCCTGGCCGCAAGCAAGCAAATGGTGGGTATCTTCTTATGCGTGTGGATGCGAGCCGATCTTCTCCCGCATGTCACCAACTTAAAGGTCTCATGCGTTGGCCGCGGCATCATGGGCTGTCTGGGAAATAAGGTCGGTTCCTCATCAGTTCAAGTTTCAGTGTGGGATTTAAGGCAAAGCTGTATGTATAATTCCTTCTTTTCTTGGTGAATAGGGTTCCATTTCGATTAGCATGACATTACACCGCACCACGTTCTGTTTTGTTTGTACTCACTTGGCCTCTGGAGAGAAAGATGGCGATCAAGTGCGAAGAAACTTGGACGTCTCTGAAATCTTGAAGAAAACTAAATTTTCGTCCTCTTTTAAAGCTCTTGGCCGTTCACTTTCCCCCGAAAGCATATTGGAGCATGAGTAAGCCCTTCATTTCCTTTGTTTCTTATTTTATTTTGTCATCTTCTGATCCAAATTAAAGTTATATTAATATGCAGCCAGCTCTATTCATTTTTTTCCCCTATTATGTGCAGTAAGATTATTTGGCTTGGGGATTTGAATTATCGGATAGCTACTGGTTACGCCGACCCACGAGTTATTAAAGAAGTACGATTGGCAGGCATTATTAGAGAAGGATCAGGTAAACTCGTTACATTCTTGACTAGATTCTTAAGTGGCGCGTGTTCTTCATATAACCTGGCTTTCTTTTTCTGACGTATGATTGTTTTGCCTGGCAGCTAAGGATAGAACAAAGCGCTGGTCGAGTGTTTCAAGGTTGGAATGAAGGGAAAATATATTTTGCTCCTACTTATAAGTACTTAACCAATTCTGACCACTATGTTGTCCGAACCTCGAAATCCAAGGAAAAACAACGAACTCCTGCGTGGTACGTGAGATATTTTTTTCTTGCTTGATTCCTTTAAGAAAACTCTTATCTTCTGTCATGAATTATTGCCGTTTGATTCCCTTCATGCATCGTTGCATTTGTTTATGCTTTAATGTGGCGTGGTGAGAGAGATGACTCTGGCTCTTTAGTTTTATCAGCTGAAGGAGAGCACTGCAATTGGATGAAGCAAACAACTATAATAAAGAACACAATTTGCACTTGTTTATAAAGTTGTAGTAGGTGTTGATTTTCAGTAACGTGGGATTCAATGCCACTTTCAGTGGAAAGGGATTCACCTGCGATATATGATTTATCATATGTTTGGCATTGTTAATTAGAAAACTGGTCATGCACAACGACGTCGGACGTTGAATAATCATTCATTAATCATGCCTACAGTATTATTAAACGAGGGCTTTCTTGTGGGAGAGAGTATAAGCATTATTGAACATTTTATATAGGTTGCGTGCTTATTGAACACTAACCCTTTTCCCATTATACGAAGCCGGCCACATTTTGTCCATAGTATTGTGCTAACACAAATAAAACAAGCTGCTCTTTAGTTTATCATGATTATGGACAGCCCCTCGTAATTGAGAAAACACATTGAGATGCTGTATTGCGGCTCTAATCATTTTTAGTTGCTGAGTGGGTACTGCTATTAACCGTGAAGATGTCACTGTGATCCATGAACTGACAAATAGAAATTGAAAAATGAAAAGGTGCGACCGGATTCTGTGGAAAGGGGAAGGGCTAAAGCAGATGTGGTACGAGAGAGGAGAGTCAAGATTCTCAGACCACAGGCCCGTCTATTCGTTGTTCTCAGTTCAAGTGGAAACGACAACCAAGAATGTCAGTGCAAAACCCCACAATAGTGCTGCCTTGTCGTCGACCTACGCCGCTAAAGTTCAGGCAGAGGAGGAACAGTTCTTGCTACTGACGAGGGTACAGAGTTGCATACACAGCACGCCCAGGTTCTGATTCCTGAACATCCACCTAACTCACATAAAGTGAAAACTGACACAAGATCGCCCAGTAGTACCCCACAGCCCCGACACATTCGACGGCCAAAGGACGGCTCCCAAGGTCGGATGGGCATATTGTTCGTCAAGAGTCACCACGTCATCTAAAGGTGTGACAAGTGCAGAGGACAGAAGGAGGAAGAAGAATCAATATTGGACAGACCGGTTTCTTGACGCGGGGGGATTCCCGATTGTGGGAATGTGGGCCTTTAACATCCACCTAACTCACATAAAGTGAAAACTGAAACAAGATCGCCCAGTACCCCCACAGCCCCGACACATTCGACGGCCAAAGGACGGCTCCCAAGGTCGGATTCTGGGCATATTGTTCGTCAAAGAGTCACCACGTCATCTAAAGGTGTGACAAGTGCAGAGGACAGAAGGAGAAGAAGAAGAAGAAATCAATATTGGCAGACCGGTTTCTTGACGCGGGGGATTCCCGATTGTGGGAATGTGGGCCTTTATTTTTGCTCATTCTTGGGAATTCTTTTGAAAGCCCGAGCTTGGCTAAGGGTGGGGATGAGAGCAGTTTTTAGGGCTCAATTCCTCCAATTATTTGCTTCGTCTCTTTCCAATCAGGTGGGCCGGCCGCGGGCGTTGGAATTTTGTATATGAAAACGGTGGACGGCCTTCATATTATCATTACTATTACTGATAATCAAATTATCTGTATAAAAAAAAGTAATCATCAGTCACCAGTATATACTTTTTTGTCCTATTTATTAGATAGAAAGTTTTTCTTCATTTGAGCTTGTCTTAACATTTAATGTTTTTTTTCAATGTTATCTTTTATTATTTTACTTTTAACATGTTTTTTGACATATTCTGTTTAATCTATTTTTCCATTTAAAAATAAAAAAATATTTTTAACTAATTATTTATTATTTGTGAATTGGTTATTTGAGGAGGATGACATCTGTGTGCAGCTTTTCCTCTCAATCAAACATGCCGACTTTCGGTGCAGTCTGCCTTTTCATAGTCTGCTCATGTCATCATATGGATGGTAATTTTTCAAACAAACAAACGCATAATTATTTATTTTTAAAGATAACATTAATTAATTATTAAATTTCAACACTGATTTTAAACTTTTCGTGTGTAACTGTAAAAAAGGGGGAAAAAGACGGAAAAACCATCCCTTTCATTTTTTTTAAGAAAATTTAGTCCTGATAAAAGTTAATAATAAATAAATTTGAGTTTTAAACCATTGATGAGAGCTGTTACAGAAATTATTGAGTTGATACCAGCTGTGCATGTGCCATTTAAATTAAGCACCGACGTTCTTTGACTGATGAGCCAAGTAAACGGGCATAAAACAAGGCTGATCATGATCTGCTCCACAGAATTTTTTTTTTTTTTAGGAATAGGCGCAGTACTAGCTAAGAGCATTAAATATGAACATAATTTTCAACGAGTATTCAAAAATTGGCTTGTAAGCTTATAAGGGACTAGTCCTTTCCTTTGTACTCTCACTACTGGTTGCTTCCTCAAACATTTGACTCCACGTGCATCGACTCTGTTTGCATTTTGCATGCCGTGTTCATGCAAGATCCACTTCAGGGTGTGCCCTCTACAGTTGAGCTCCGGAATAATGTTGACCCATTGATTCCCATACTATTAATTGGCGAGAGCGAATCTCCTTCAACCCAACCCAATAAATGCCCCGTCGTTTCCGTCAGCTCAAGTGGGGCCCATTCGCAGCCCCGGAAGTCTCCAATGGAGGTCTGCCGCCTGTAAGGAGAGCGACTCGCCGACGGCTGCACCGTACTCCACCACGGTCACTGCCTCCTTCTGGTACACTCCTACTTCTGCGATATATATGTGTATGTGTGCGTATATGTAAATGAGAAATTTATCATCTGCCCATGTTCTCCACAGATGGCATCCCACGCACTGTGCGATCGTGGGATGCCCCATCTCCGAGCATTCCCATCTTTGGCAAATTCCTCAAACTCAACTCAACTTCCCTGTCTGTTAGATCTCAAGACAGGCCGCGTCCGTACAAGAGACGCCGTGCTTTCTGCCTTACATTCCCTGAAGTTTTTCTTATGTTTCTGTCACCGTTCATCGTGAGCCAGTCAGGGTATGTACTGTTAAGATCCCGAGCTTAAGCTGTCACCTCTCAGTCGGTTGCCGATGAAGAGTAATGAATACAGAACAGGGATAAAGAAAAATGAAGAACAAACAACACGCTGTAATTGCATTTGCCCTGTCTGATTGGTAAATTCTGGACTCCGGAGTCAGGAAAGATGAGAATCTCTCTGTTTTACGTTGCGGTTTGCCGCTATCTGGATAGAAAGAGCGTAGAGACGGTATGTGATATCCGTTTTCTGTTCTCTCTAAAGTTAATTTTTATACGCTCATTGGCAGGCAACTTTTTTGGTTTTGAGAAAGAGCTTAATGCTTCTCAATAGCTTAAAAGCGAATGGCCGCCATTGAAAAAAGAATTGTCTAATCAGCAAGGATTTTGTGGAGGAAAGGCAAATGGACAACTGATGAGTCCATTTAGTGGAACTTTGAAAATCATCATTTAATAATCTCAGGAACAATTTTGTTTTTAATTATCAGAATGAAATATTCAATTTTGCTGTCGCATAGCTTTTGTCCTTTTTTTAACCTTACTCAAAATTTAATGAGAGGGAAATTTAATTCAGGTTTTAGCATTATTGTTTACGTGCTTAGGGAAAAAGTAGGAAAGAAGGGAATTGCCTTAAAAAAAAAAAAAAGAATTTACTTAGTTAGTTAATTATACAACACACGAAGGTTTGGCCTCATCTTTTTATTGTTCTTCAACCAATGAGGTGATGAACTTCTCTTACTCTATCAGACGATACATTATTGTTGAAGCTGGGTATACAATTTTCTTTCTTTTGTCGTTATATCACTCGAAAGTTTTATTAGATTATAGCATTTATCTTAGAAGTATTTTGTGCTGGACTTTATGGGAACAAATTTGCTACCCATTTTAACTGTTATTGGTCAAATAATTTGCCGTGATGAAGAGTTTTTGGACTAGCCGCCCATAATGAATTTTCTCCTTTATTGTCCTGCACACAGTATTGATAGCCTGTGTTTAGATCATAGTTTTCTATACGTATTGCAAGTGCAGTGTTGTCATCCCCCCCCCCCCCGGGGGGCCTCTGCATTATAGCTGGATTGATCACGGATAACTGAAACTTTGATGATTACTGTTATGTTTTCCCCATACTTGTTTCTCTCTAGTCGTGATTCCTGCTTCAAAATTGGTTACAGTGTCATGATTGAAATGCTCGGTTGGGGCATGTCCTTCATCTGAACTGAAATTGTCTGGCAATATATGCTCCTGGGAATCGGAGTTGGCGAGTCGTAATCTTTGCTTTTACCCCACACCACAAGGTACAAACCCAAAACAATGACAATGGCACCGACCACCCTGTGAAATATCAGATTTCTTTAGTTCCCTTTCCTTTTAGAGTTCTAGTAGAAATATTTTTGTGATTGATACTTGATTTTCATAATTACCTTCCAAGGTACCATTGCTCAGCTAGAAAGATGGAGCCCATGATAGCCACAATTACCAAGCAGAGGGGACTAAACGCAGTAACAAATACTGGGCCTCTAGTTTTCATCACGACCCCTTGGATGTAATAACCCATTCCCGAGCAGACTACGCCCTGCATGCAATTATAGTTTTTAGGGGAAAAAAATTCATCGTCGATAATATTTCAGTACTCCTTTTCAAGTATTCGTTTAGTTACAAAGCTTTTTAGTTAAGGCAGAGGATCTATATCGGCCATCAATTTGGTTTTATGACCTTTGATTTCTGTTTCTCATGATGAGGGGTGAAGTTTTATTGTGTGATGGATTGAGTGTTCAATGTAATGCCCAGTATTTTGTATTATGTTCTGCACAACATGCTCCTCTCCTTACACTGTAGACAGCGGCAGGCAGTTTTGTATCCCAACTTAAAGACCAAATGGAAGCGTTGGCCCTTTCCATAACCAGGGCAACTACGGCACCTTCAACTGATCCTAACAGGCATATCCATGCTGTAAGAGAGAGCTCAGCTGGGTAGGTTTCAAGAGTAATTGCCTGGAGAAAGAGATATGAAGCTGTGTCAGGAAACCAAACAAATTAAAGCAGAAAAGGTCGTGGCAGGGAAATTTCTTTTTATGCCAATTAATTATGATGGAGAGAAACTCACTTGGAGGATCATGAAACAAGCCCAGCTAAAGCTCCCTATCGTGATCATCACTGATCCCTTTATTGCATCTTGAAGATTTACGGTGCCACTATTATGGTTGTCAGTGTTTGTTCCATGTGTTCCAAACAACTCAAGCACCGGACCTTTCACCAATGTCATGACCATCGCTCCAGCAACAGTTGCCAGGGTCCCAAACACCTTGGCTTGGCTGCGTATGCTTCTTATCTTCAACTTCTCAAGCCTAGACAGAAAGCATAGAACTTGATTGGATTAAGGTACATATCAAACCCTCACATGACTAACAAATTTGTGAAAATCACTACAAAGGGGTGGAAACTAAATGTACTTACCTAAGAATGCAAGCCATGATGAAGGTGATGGCGGGAAGCATATTACTCATTGCAGCGGCAAAGGTTGCTGTTGTGCGTTTCATTCCCAGAAAGTATAAATTTTGATCAATAACTGGCCTGCCAATAAGAAGTGGTGCGAGAGAGTTAGATTAATTGTTTCTCCTAGATTTGATCATGTGTGTAGCCAAGAAAGAATATTACTCTAGCACACTGAGCGCCACTATTTTCATGAAGATTGAAAACCTCATCTTTGGCCTGACTTTCCTGTGAAAAAGAAACATAGTATGACTTCAGTTTCAATTCAGGCATGCTCATGTACCCAGACACACACAAAAAGGAGAGACAGAGAAAGAAAGAGACTTGTCCAGGATCACTGCAAAAGGGGCGATGGCAAAAAAGCCGACGGCATGGCGGTAGACGACAAGCACATAATTGCTCATCCCCTTGTTCAATGCAGCCTTGGACAGAACATCCATTCCTGCAAACCCAGCCTGCAAGAATACTACAGCTATGAATGGCTTCACTCTTTCAAGCCAACTTGGTTTCTGGTTCTCCATCATGTGTGAGCTCAAACCTCAACCTGCTTCTTGAGCCACAAGAATATGCTACTACCTTACAAGGCTCGTGTTTATACATGTAGTGGGCTGACGCATGAACTAGTATAGCCTCATGC